TGAAGGTTACCGTTTGCCGCAATAGGGGAGTCGAATATAAGATGTTGGATTTCCGAATTGGTTTGAGTTCTACTTAAAACCAGCAGTTTCTTGTAAGAGTAAAAGATTTTGCAAAAGTGTAAATACTACTTTGTGTTGTTTGCTTACACCTACCTATATGTAAAAAAAATTTCAAATTGGACCATTCAATAAAAAGTTATGAGCAAAGAATGGAGTGACTAGCGGTCAAGCAGTGCAAGGAGTCAAGCAGTAAATGAATTTGGAAGTCGAGGTACTTGACTTAAACGTTCTCTCTTCATTTAGAATACTTTTACGGTTTGACAACCAATCAATAATAATTATCAAAGTATTTATAAGATGACCTTACGTTATATTTTTGCCAAAGGTAATAAATATGCGGTTAGCAAAATGCTCCCTAATAAAAACTGCCTAATCAAGCGAAGACTTTAAATTACAAAGAGCTTTTAGGTATCCAGAGTTTATGTAAATATTAGCCCATCATGATTCAAGAAACACGAAGGGAAAGTCCTGTCAAATGCGGCCTATCCTTAATGTCTTGGCAAACACAAGTGTATCGTAGTCAAAAAGGCGGGAAGCTTGTGGCTAGCCAGGAAATTGGCCAACTCTGACCTGCCCAGGATCCAAGGATCCCAGGCCCTCGTCCTGCGTATTAAAAATAATATGCAAAGTGCGGGGACCTGTTGAGATTTTCACAATTCCCAGAACAAATAACATATTCACATATTGTTGTGAAAACCCGCCCGCTCCCTTCTCCGGCTGTCTGTCTGCGTCCCCTTGGTCCTTTTCTTTCTCTCGGAGTTTGGGTATGTGGTTTTCGACTGGGTTTTTCCTTTGTTTTTCGGGGGCGGTCCGCTTATGATTTATCATCGCCGACGCCAAAGTTATATCTTCAAGATTAAAACAAGGTGGGAGGCTTTTAACTGACACTCCCTTATTCTCCCGTTCATTTACCTAATGTGACAACTTTAATTTGCCTTCAGCTTCGAACGCCGTAGAAATTCCGTTAAGTGGCTTTCATATTTAACATTTTGATGCGAGATTATCGGGAACGAGGCGGTTAGCTAACCTCGGCTTGAAGGCGAAGAAAGTTTTCCGCTGCGAATTCTAGTTTTGCCAATTCAAACACAAAGTTCCCCGGCTCCTTCGTGTAATCCCATTTGGATTGCGAATCGGTGTGTGTGCTCAGCGAAGTTTCTGGGATGGCAAACTTACTCGGATGCCCCGGCCTCGGAACTAAATAAATTAGCCAAAGGCCCTGCCAGACTACAAGAACTTCCCACTCCGAGAACTCAAGAACTCCCGAGGACCGCAAGCCGCACACATTATTAATAATATTTATGATTGAGTGACTGGGCGGTGGCTTCCAAGAGCAGGGAAACTATAGATGGTGGTGGTGCTCATGTAAAGACAGATGACTGACCACAATGTAAATTAAAGATTATGATAGGAAAGAGAGTGAGAGTGAGTGGCCAGGTCTAAATATTTGATCCTAATGAACAAGTTTGGACAAAAAAAGGTCAACCGACAAGGTTTAAGTAAGAAGCCGTGATCTATAATTAACAAAGGATAAAAGGATAATTTGTACTTTATTTATTTAAATTACGGAGTGTTTCTTGCTTAAAGCTATTATTAATAGAGCAAGCAGAATCATTAGTTTTTAAGTACTGAAAAAAAAAAACTTGTATATGCCTGGTTAATATTAAATATTAAGTAAGATTTAAATTTTAAGTAAGATTTCATAGATTGGTTTATAAATAAAGTAAGAAAAGGAATATTTTTAAATAACCTTCCCAAGATATACATACATCCAAAACTCAGTAATTGAAAAGAACGGGTAGCTCCTCCTCTTAAAGGTTTTTTTTCTTACCAGTTTCTGAGCCGAGTTCATCTTTATATGCATGTTCGCACATCCATTAATCCGTTCCTGAACAACAACGGAAAAGCGACAAATGCAGGGTGTGGGATGAACTGAACCCGAATCCGAGTCACTGGGGAGCCAAGGAATTTATGGTATAAAAAATGGATTTGCGATGTTTTCGCTGTGCAAATTAAATTTATTGCCGCGGATACTTATCCGTGTGCCCATTGTTCCGGGTACCTTTAGCTACACGTATGTAAGCGTACGTGGAATTGGGAGGATTGGAGGGGAGTTTTCGAAGGACGGGCTGTATCCGCCCACAAATTTATTCGCGGCTTTCCATGGCGCTTCCCATTTAACAGATGGAAATGGAAAATTATGAAGCGACGTGCCCGGAACTGCAAAGTTCCTACTGTTCGCGTGCCCACATAATAAATGTACCTGCCTAAGTGAACAAAATAAAAAAAATGTATGCGGGAAAGAATTGAAAATTAAAAAAGCAGGGAGAAACAGACAGTTGCACGCTCTTTTGGAGTTCCCCCATTGTATTTGTTGCACTTGCCTGACAATGAGACAGACCTCCCAGAACCACCCCCGCCTCCCAGCTCCCAGATATACAAACCCACCTCCCAAAATCCAACCCCACCCACCGCAGACTAAACGGAATAAGCGTTAATGCTTCGTTTGAATGAATTTTTGATTGCGTTGTTTACGATTGAATTTACTTCCTGCCAGCGAACCATTTTTTCCCCACGCTTTGTTTTTTTGCTTGTGTTTCTTTTTTGTTTGGGGAGTGAGCATAAATTTGCGTGGCCCAACTCCTCTGGAATTCGCTTTCATTTTTTGCGTTCGCAAATCCGTGCGAATTTTTTTGTTTCGGAGCTCTAAAGTTAACTGTTGTTTACAGCTTACCAACATCTCCAAGGAGGGTTTTCCTCTCCAGATCGGAGATAATGCAAATGGCAATGGGAAAGTCTCGATGTGAGGGGTGTAGAAATCGTCTTAAACACTTTTCACATTCAATAAGCATTAAGACGGAAGTCAAGAAATGCGATTTAATAAACGATAATTTCAGATATAAATAAATAATAGAATTGTAATAGGGGGAAAGTGCTAGAAAAGATTATGTTAGGGATATGTTTGGAAAAATATCGTTCTTGATTTAAAACCTAAATGGCGATACTCGAGTAAGGGCCGCTTTCTCGAGTCCCTGTCAAAGTCCCTGATAGCTATCTGTTCGAAAAACTTAAAGACCAGATAAACTGTTCGTAAAAGCAAATCCGCTTTCTCGACTGCTTTAATTTATCTGAACGAGAAACAATTACAGAGTGCTGTTAACGCACTGTGAAGTGCAAAAAATGGCATGCTTCGATTATTTCATCAGCTGTTTGGGTATAATTCAAAGGAAAAGTCAACTGTGATTTCGTTTCTTCTTCATAGTTGGCTTTGGGAAATCAGCTGTCATTCTATCGAGCCGAAAACGCTTAACAGGGACTCCGAGTCCCTGTCAAAGTTAGCTCTCACATTTATGCTCGAGAAAGCCAAAATGCCTTAGCAGGGACTTTATCTGTTCGAGAAATGTTAGCCGGCACTCGAGAAACCGGCCCTAAAACTCTTTAAAAATCAAAAAAAAATGTATTCCAAAAGAGAAAAGTTCTCCATTTCAGGAAGTTCAAACCCCAACTGATGATGGAAAATCAGCGATATAATCTCGTTAGGTAACTCCTCATCGCTCTATCCTTATCGGCCTATTGCCCAACGTAACAGGAAACCAATTAATCTCTATCAATACCCGGACTTCGCAGGCTCAAGCTCAAGGATCAAGTGACAAGACATCGACTGGCTTAACAGACGAAAACCGAAATGGACAAGCCGTGAAGTGGCCAGGATGATGCCGGGGATTCCTGGAGGGGTGGAAGCATCTGAGATGGAGACGGGGACTGACATCTACGACTCCCTGGAGTGCAATCGGAAATGGACGCCAATGAAACAAATGCAAGCACGTAAAAAAGTCGAAGACCACGGAGCAGCAAAGGTTGTACCACCTCTGACCCCTCGCAAACCAACCTTTGCTGAATCTCGATTCCCTTTTCCTTCGAAACTTCCAATTGTGCAACGTGTGGTATGAGTAATGAGAGAAACGGCTGCCGAAAAGGGAAAACGATTTTCCGGTTCAATCAGTTTTGATTTAAATTGCAATTATTAACTTCAGTTTGCCAAATCATTTACTTTGGGGTAATACGGGGTCTCATTACCTCGTTCACGGGTTGACGAAGCATCAGTTGCTTGCCATCAATTTGATTTATTTCTATAATAAAAAAAAGAGGTTAATTTAAGCCAATTAAATGGATTACTTAACTTTAGTTCAGTCAAAAAAAAAATTTTTTAAAATAGTTATAAAATAGGATGATGAAATATTAGTCCGTCTGGGACCAAGTTCACAAAAGAAACCAAAAGATCTATATATGTAGCTCCCTAAGCCCTGATAACCTGTCTAAAAATACACACCCACCATGGCCAGTGACTTCTGTTCAACCTTCTAAGCCATTATTATCTTTATTTGGATAAACTGAATCATATGATTTAAATTAAAACTTTCCCAGACGGTAGCGGATTCTTTTAGCTTCCGTATTCATAAAAATTCCATGACTTACTCATTTACTTGCCGCCACGCGAAGTTGAAAAGATTTATATTAGGGAATGTCATAAACTTATAATTTAATTTTTTAACTTTTTGGATACTGTAATTTCCTAAAATAGTACTCAAACAATGCAATCACAAAAGATATCAGTCAAATTGTAGTCACATTCAACTACGTAACCCAAAGATAGTATAACCTCATAAAACAGTCTAAAAATAAACTTTTCAATTGTAAATAAGAACATTTGCTTACCGAGCAAAACAGTGACCTCTGTTTATCCTCCTGAAAACTTTTTATCTTTTATAAGGATTAGTTGTACCATCTGGTTTAACTTATATTTTTTCCAGACGGTAGAGGATTATTTCTAGCTTCCGTACCCATAAAACAGTTATTTAAACAATCCCATGCAGACAGCAAGTGATCTTTCCCCCAAAGTTCGGTTTAAATTAAATTATAAATATTAAAAACTGGTCAATAAATCATTTGAATTTGTTTTATTATTTGACTAAAAGCACACACTGGACAAACAGAATCTCAGGGGAGAAAAGAGACCTAATCCTATGTTATAGTAAACAACTTGCTTAAATCTAGAGGCTGGAGATGCTAAACTCTGTGGATCCGCGGGTAACTATTTACACAGAATGGCGATAAGCCGTATCAGACGTTGTTCGGCTAGGTGCCATAAGCAACACGGTATTATGCCAATAAAATGGAGTGACGCCACTGCTCACTTCTCATCGCCGACAGATTTTGTTTTGGTCTCCGTTTCAGCCACGTTATGGGATTCCTCATCATGGTCCGCTCTAAGGGGCTTCTTTTCCTCCTCATCTTCCCTATCGATTCCCAGGTTTTGGAGTTCCTTTAGCCCAGGCTCAGGCAATGAGTGGCAGCTATTATTATTCCATGGCTGCAATGTGGATTCCGAGAAGAGTACGTACAAGATGCCACTGCCTGTTAGCATCAACGAACTGAGCAGGAACACATTCTTCCAGGCCTCAATTGTTTGCTAAAAGAAAACAGTCATATAAGGATTATAAACTCTTTTATAACTAATATCTCAACTCACATTATTATGGGTGAGCTGTCCCACAATGAAGGGCGATATGAAGCCCGGCATTCCTCCAATCATTCCACTCACACCCAGGACGATGCCAGCATAATTGGGGGACAGATCCACCATGGAGGCCAACGGACCGGAGGACACGGCGCCATGGAACATGGTGGCTATTGTAACCAACAGAATGGCAGCCGTCGCGTTGTAACCGAAGTAAGCGAGAGCCAAGACCACGAAACCCTTGACGCCACAGCCTGAAAGTAAAGGATTATAAAGAAAAAGGTTTATAAGAAAGGTTCCGAATTAGGGAATATTAGAATATAAGGAATTTCCTTGTTAGGAACCCTAATACTTACAAATGAATGTGGCCAATTTGCGGACATTGGTGCGACTCAGGCGATCTGTTCGCAGAAGATAATCAGCCAACATGGAGAAGACGTAAGCAAAGAGCATCCTCATGAGATGAGGAAGTCCCGAGAGGAAGCCCGTCTAAAAGAAGGGATAAAAGATATAGATATAGTACTTCACTTCTCACAAGAGTTATTTCTGAACTTACAGCTCGGATGTTCCAGTGGTGAATCAGTCGGAAGTAGGTCGGCGCATGGGTCATCAAAGTGAACAGGCCCCAGATGCCGCCCCATTGGGCCACCACGTTCAGCCAAACCGGACGGGAGGTGGCTATCGCCTTCCAGGGAGTTGGACCCTTCGTTCCTTGAACAGAGGCGCCCAAGGACTTTTCAATGTACTTTCTCTCCGAGTCGGCGATGCGGGGATGCTGGGCAGGACTATCGAAGACCAGGAACTGCCAGGCAATGAACCACAGAGTTCCAACAATTCCGCAGATATAGTAGACCCATTCCCACCTGGTCCAGTCGATGATATAGCCGAAGATCGGATAGAACAGAGCCACGCCCACTGAGCTGCCCAAATAGGCACTCACAAACTTGCTGCGCTCGTTGGGCGGAATCCATTTGGCAGTGAGCACGTGCATCGAGGGCCAGGCCAAACCCTATAGGGAAAAAACATATTAAATCTAGTTACAAAAATAAAAGATCCTGAAGATCACTTACAGTTATCCAGCCCTGGAAAACTCGAAGGATAATCAACCCCGTGTAGCTCCAGTACGATACAATGGGTATGAGGAAACAGCAGAAAACACCAATGCCATTGGACCAACCGAAGACCAGTTTGGTGCCATATTTAGTGGCCAAGATGCCGCCGGGGATCTGCAGAGTCCAATGGGCCCAGAAAAAGGATCCCAACAGAGCGCCCTGCTGCTTCTCGTTCCAGTAAAATCCATTCCGTTCGTACGGAATCTGCCAAAAGAAATGAAACGTTACTCATCCGCCCCGTTGCTGCACATCACTTAGTGGCTTTATTAAGCACTTAACCAGTGATTCAGCGATCCGATATACTCACATTCGCCCAGTCCAAAAACCAACGCTCCAACGAAAACCGTTCATCCGGAAGGGCAGTCAATTCCGTAGAGTTCCCGAGGGTTACGTTCGAGGCAACCGGACCACCCTTGCCGGCAATCATGTCCACAATCGTGATGTTCAGATTGATCCGGATCATGTAGTTGACGATGAAGCCCATAAATGTCATGTACCACAGCACAGTGCGCGCCTCGACTGAAAGATCAAAGTGAGTACGTGAAATGCGAGTCTCGAGTTTGTGGTTGTGCTGCGTTTGGAGGTCTTGAGCCAGAACTTCGAGGGTAAGACACGAATCTAAGATCATTCTCGTACCTTGAGCCATGGTGAATGGAACTGGCTGGTTGGTTCACTTGAATTTCGGACTCTGCATTCGCAGGAACTGCAATCCTTGCGATTCGATGGCGGAAGATCAACTGCTGCGGACCGCTGCCGAAATAGAATGCCAGACCCAGTATCTGTATCTCTTTATCCCCGCCGCACGCTACTGATAAGCGCCGCCGATCTGGCTATGGACTATGCTGCACAGCTCGGCTCGTGATCGCTGATCAACCTGCCCTGCATGCGACCGACAACGACGAGTTCGGCGATCGGCCTCCGCTCAGATAAAATTCGCATTTAAGCAGATCGGATCAGTCAGCTGTTGGATTATCTTTATGACATGGCGTGCTCCCTGTGGGTTTGACTATCGCTATACGAGATACGAGAGCCGGAGACTAGATATTCGAGGAGGCAGTTTAACGACGGGCCGCTTGATGGATTTACAGGTTTGCAAAGTCCAAACAAACAAGATTGTGGAGCAGAAGAGTGACAAAGCATCATAGCAGCGGAAAGTTAGTTAAAACAGTCTAAGAAATCCTTATTACAATTACAATAATAAACAACGTTTTGAGGATACAATTATATTTGAGTTTACACCGATAAATTCACGCGTCGCGATCTATTGAGAAGTTGAGTCACAGTTTAGCTGCGCTGTTATTGCCACGGGAACATTTACATGAGGATCACGGCGTGCACTTACTAAAAGAATTAAAAAGATTACAAAGATCTGTTGGGAAATACAGATAAACTGATACTTAAACATAGATCCTCAGCATTTCTTCATAATCATCCTTGTAGCAAGTGAGCATCGTGTACTTAGGTATAGGCTAGCTTTACAGTGAGACCTACTAGTTGCTGTCTAAGGGCTAACAGTGGTGCGTGTCTGCCGTCGTGGGCGACACCGTCGCAGGGCGTGGTGCTCCACAAGTGGCTTCCCACAGACGGCTCAGTACTCATCCGACGTTCTCGTAGGACATCGCAGGCCGTTCGCTGGCGGTCGAGCCGAAGATCGTGGGCGGATGGTGCTGCTGTCCCTGCTGCTGCTGGTGGGGATGCTGTTGCTGCTGCTGCTGTTGCTGGTGGGGATTGTGGCCATGTTGGTGCTGCTGGGCGGGCGGTTGCTCGTTGCGCAGCTGGCCCAGCGGAAACATTATGTTGTGGGACATCTGAGGATGGTGCAGATGCTCGTTGGGTGGCGGCGGTGGCGGTTGTTGGTGGGCAGCATGGAGCGCCTGAGCGGCCTCCACATGCTTGCGTTGCTCGTTGCTCTGCTGCTGCTGCTGTTGGTGGACCTTTTCCACGGCGCTCTCCTCGTACTTCTTCTGAAGCTGGAACAGCGGCAGCTGCTGGGAGGCATGGAGGGGCACAGCCACCGCCCCTGCGGATGCCACCCGCTCCACTTGCGACTGAGGCGACGGCTCACGCTCGCCCTTCTCGTACTTCTTCTGCAACTGGTACATGCTGTGCGATAGGTGGGAAGTCACCGAGCTGCTGCCACTGCTGCTGGAGCTCAGCTTCGAGGAGGTCGACGTGGAGGAGGGCGTGGACTTCTCCGCCTTGACGGGCGACTTCTTCTGGTACTTCTTCAGTATCTGCATAAGTTCGGACTTGACGTCTAGGCGTATCTCCTCGGGAACCCGCTTGATCTCCTCGTACAGGGAGAGCAGGAAGAGCTTGTCCGGATCCCGATTCTTGCGCTTCTTGCTCTTCTTCGGGAAGGCATCCTGCATGAACTGCAGCAGCTTCTCCTCGAAGGGCGACTCCCGGGAGAGCGATCCACTGCCATGCTGGCGCCTCAACAGGTGCGGATGCAGGCCGCCATGGAAGGCGGGATGTTGGAGCATCCCTGACTGGCCACTGCCACTGCCGTGCTCTCCTCCGCCGCCGCCATTGTGCGCCTGCAGCTGCGACACCGGGTGGCCCTGATATGAGCCACCATTGCTGGAGCCCGGAGCATCGTTGGTCTCCCCGTCATTGGTGTGGTGATCCTGCTGCGGCTGTTGTCCTGCATGCGCTTGCGGATCCTTCTGGTGCTGCATGTTGTGCTGGTGGTGGCCCACGGCCGCCGTGAGAATGGCATCGCACAGGTGCTCCGGCGCGTAATCCAAACCTGTGAGGAAGTTCTCCGCCTTGAGTTCGCCGTTCATCTCCTCGTAGAAGTACTCGGTGCCCACAATGTCGATGATGTCGTTGTCCTCCTGGTTGAGTTCGATGCCCGGCGGCGGCGATCCTCCAGAGAGCTGGCAGCGCTTCAGTTCCGCCAGCTTCTTCCTGGTGGTCAAGCGCATGTCGCGCCAGCACTAAAAGGGATTGGAAGTATAAGATTGCACCCTTTCCAACTGCTCCACTCACCTTCTTCCACTGGATGATGGTCTTCTTGGGACCGATGGTGTTCAGGGCCGCCTGGATCTTCTCCCAGTACCACTCCTTCTCCTTCTTGCCCTCCATGTACTTGGTTTCCCGCAGCAAGGTGATGAGCATTTTCTTCTGCGGCTTGGTCACTCGATCCTGGAAGGGTAAACATATAGATTCCCATGAATGAATTCCCATAAATCGGTTATTTTCCCGCCTCGCCAGCCACTCAATTGTTGCTGTTGTTTATTCCACAAATGCCATCGGTGTCTACAATTTTTGGCTGCTCCCCGCACACATACAAACTAACGCTGTGTGTGTGTGATTAAAGAATCGAACGATTCATTATTTCTGCACCCTGCTAATTACCATTGTGAGCTTCTGGAGAAGTCTGCGTTGGCTCGAAATCTTGAAGTTTGGGTTTTTTGCCGCCTTGGATTTGTAACTGCTCAATTGCGTGGACTTTTGTTTAATTTTTCACTCCCTCAAACATTGCTGTTTCTGCCTCTTCTTCTTCTCGTCGTTACGTCTGTGTGTGTGCGTTTGACGGTCTCACCAGTTTGACGTTTTGCCCGCCCGGTTGGAAATCAGCTGATGCGCAAACGACCGTTACAGAATTTGAGTGTAAGGTATATATAGGATGTTCCAAATCTTTACATTAATATTAATTTTTAACTAGTTTGTTAGTAGAAAATAATGTATTCTACATTTAAAACTTTAACTTCTGATAATATTATAATACACCCAGTTTTACCGGTAAAATAAAAAAGTTTTATATTTTATTTCCATAAATTCAACTCTGTTTAATGTATAACTTTCTATACACTCTATACATAAAATTATAACTGTGGGCAAAGTTAATATGCCAAAATATTTTCCAGACTGTAAATAAACAAACTAAGTTTTAATTCTTAAGTTCTGATAATGCTTTTATAAGCACTCAGTTTTACCCGTAAAATAAAAAAGTTATATATTTTATTTCCATAAATTTAACTCCGTTTAATGTATAACTTTCCACTCTATACATAAAATTATAACTGTAGGCAAAGTTAATATGCCAAAAAATATTTTCGAGACTGTAAGTAAACAAACTAAGTTTAAGATCTTATAAACAACAAATTAACCAAGTAAAAATTCAGCGTTTGTTGGTGGTCGCCTGTCGGCTAACCTGCCTGGTGATGGTGGACACGCCCTCCTCGAAGAGAGTGCGGAACAGGACGTTGGCGTGGTTAAAAAGACCATCCTTGAGGGACACAATCAAGAACTGTGAGTTGGTAAAGTGCTGCTTCAGCATGCTGCCAATATTCTGGGTGTGCGACATGTCCAGAGCGGCGTCCACCTCGTCAAGAATGTACAAGGGAGCCGGGGAGAACTTCAACATGGCCAGGACAAGGGACAGAGCCACCAGTGACTTCTGACCACCCGACAGCTCACCCAGGCTCTCCTTCCATTTGCCATTGAAGCCCACTTTGATCTCCAAGCCCGTCAGGCAGCCATTCGTATGAACGGGATTGAGTTTTGCATCGGCACCTGGTAGAAGTGAGCTAAAGATGCCACTAAAGTTTGCATTAACCTCGGTAGCAGCTCGGTTCAGCTGATCCTGCTCCTCCTCGTCCATTTTCACGATGATCTTCTTAATCTTCTCCTTGTCCAGCGCCACAATGTTTCGGCGCCGCTCGGTCTCCTTGAAGTTCTCCTCCTCGCGATCCAGCACCATGATCGCGTTCATATTCAGGGTGCGCTCCATTTTGTCCTTCTTCTCCTGCATCTTCGCCAGCTTGTTGCCCGCCTCGTGGGGATCCTCCTTGCTGTAATCGTAGCGGGTGTTCTTCATGCCAAAGCAGTTCTTCTCCTCCGGAATCCAGGGATACTTCGTCTCGAGCGCTTCCATCCGTTTCTTCGCCTCGTTGGCCTCCGAACTGATCTTCTTTTGCTCGTTCTCCTTCTTCTTCACCTCCAGCTCAATCTCCTGATTTTGTTTAAGCATTTTGTCCTTCTTGACCAGCTGATTTCGCATCTCCTTGTTCTGAGCATTCAACTTGTCCTTCTGCGTCTTAATGGCCTCTTCCAGCTCCGAAACCTCGGAAGCTGCACTGGAGCTGTTTGCCTTCAGGGCATCTAGTTCGGCCTTGAACTTTTCGAGATTGTCAATCATTTCCTGGTGCTGTTGCTTGGCTGTTTCTATAGTTTTCCGCAACTCAGTGATCTCCAGCTGCAGAGTTTCGAACTCCTGCTCTCGCTTCTTCCAGTTGGCTCGCGATTTCTCCGCCCGCTGCTTGGTCACCTTCACCTCGTTGGTCGCAGCTTTTAACTCCCGCTCGCGATATCCCTTGGCGTCGGCCAACTTGGCTTCGATATCCTTGATCTTAGCCTGCGAGGTCTTCTGCTTCTCCCGCGAGTCCACTATTTGCTGCTCCAACGACTTGACCCTCTCCTTCATCTCTTCTATTTCCGCCTGATTCTGTTGAAAGGTCGTTTGGGCCAACCTGTTCTCGCACATGGTTAGCTCGTGCTGGCGCAGCTCAAGGTTCTCCTTCATTTTGTTGAACGAATGGGCCAGGTTTTCAATGGATCTAAAGGGAAAATCGGTTAAGTTTTGACCTTTTGGTATGGTTTATATACTTACGCCATTTGCTGTTCCACTTGTGAGATCTCAGCGTCGATCTCCCTGTACTCCCTTTCTAGTTTTTTGATGGCATACAATTCTTCGAGGACGTTGGCACCCTTGGGAGCAGCACCGCCGGACATGGTGCCATTGGGATCAACAACGTCGCCTTCCAAAGTCACAGAACGACAATTAATACGTGGATCGTAGCTGAGCTGCAAATAATAATGGAGGATATCAAAGGATATTTAAAATATAATAAACTAGAAATACTCACTTGTTTGGCCACTTCAAGGTCCTTGCAAATAAGTGTGCTGCCGAAGCAATACTTCATGACTGGCTCTAGGTAGCGATCGTAGCTAATCAGCGACATGGCCCACTGAACATTCTCGGCACCCACTTTGTTCTGAGCGTATTCGACTACGTTTCTACTTATCGAGCCGGACTGAATCCTGTTGATGGGAATCAGTGTGACACGGCGCTGGAGATTACCCTTCTGCAGGATTTTCTTGCTGACCACATCGTCGTCCGTCACATAGCTGTAGAGCTGAAAAATAAAGAGAGATTCTTAAGAGAGATTGTCCCTTGAAACAGGTTGCTTGACTACTTACACCGCCTCCCGCTGTCATCACCAGAGCCATGGAGTTTTGCATGTCGTTCACCTGGAACAGCTTGCCCACCATGCCGCGCACCTTGCGCCGATCAAAGTTGGGCTCCGGATCCTGGTACTGCAGATCGAAGCGCGAGGCATTGCAGCGATCCAACTCTCGTTTGAGCTCGCGTTTGCGCATGTGCAGATCGTTTCGTCGCTGCTTCAGCTGCTCGAACTGGCCGCCCTCGTAGTTGAGACCCTGCAGCTGCCGTTCTAGGTTTTTTATCTCCACCACCAACTGATCATGTAGGCTTTTATCCTTTACGTAGGCGGCATCGTTGGTCTGCGTCTCACCCTCGCGCTGTTTTAGGACGCCACGCATGTGGCGCAGCTCCAACTCCGAGGTCTTAATGGTGGTCTGTGCCTCGCTGAACTGCTCCTTGGCCACTAAAAAAGGGAGATAAGTTAGTGGATTGTTTGGAATTGCTAAATAACTGACCCACCCATCAATTGTTCCTGCAGTGTGGAGGCCTGTCCGTCTTCATTGGTGGACAATCCCTGCGTGACAGCCTCCAGTTTCTTTTGGGCATCCTCGTAAGCCTTGGAGTCCGTGGCATCGGCCTCCTTGAGGCTTTCGAACTCATCCTGCACCTTGGCCATGTCCGCTTCCTTTTTGTTCAAGGCCCGTACATCATCGTCTATATTCTTAGAGGCCATGCGAATCTTTTTCTCATCTTGCTGAATGGTTCCCTGGGCCGCCTTCAAGCTGCCCGAAGCAGTGGCCTCCAGTGCCCGCTTCGCACTCAGCTGTGTTTCCAGACTCTTTATGGAGCCACCCATCTCGGCATCGATCTGCTGCTGCATCTCCTTCACGGCGGCTTCAATGCTCTCCACATCCTCGAGGTTTTTGGCATGCGTGGCCTTACAGTTTGCAATGCGATCCTCGATTTTCTTCTCGTTGCCCTCCACAGTCTTGAGTGTTTCGCATTGCTTGAGATACTTGGCGGAAATGTGAATCCGGATAAGGAAATCGATGTCGCGACAGATCTTCTGGTACTCCTGGTAGGCGGAGCGCTCCTGGCGCAGCTTGACCAGCTTGGGCAGCACCTCCTCGTCGAGCAGGACCTTGGTCTCGCGCACTTTGGTCTCCTTCTTCTCGATCAGGGTTTTGGTGGCATCTCGCTTGGTCTTGTACTGACTGGTCCCAGCCGCCTCCTCCACCATGGAAAGAACCTAAGAAAAAGAAAGGATTTATATGGATTTTATATGGATTTATAGATCCAACAACCCACCTCCTTGGGCTTCATGTTCAGCACCTGCTGAATCTTGCCCTGCATGATCAGGAAGTTGGGATTGTTCACGTTCAGCTGGATGGAGCAGAAGAAGTCCTGCACCTTCTTGTTCTGCACCAGCTTGCCGTTGATGAGGAACTTGTTCTTGCCGCCCACAACCACCTGACGGGCCACCGAGATCTCCCGGCACTTTTCATAGCCCTGCGGGCACTGGGCGGCATTTGTGTTGTCGAACACAATGGTAACAGTGGCCTTGGTGATACCCGCCTGTCCGTTCTTGTACACCAAATCCTGCAGAGCCGAAGCGCGTACCTAATAAACCGGAAGGAGTTTAAATATATCCCTTGATTTATATCCAATTGTACTCACATTCTGCAGATTACTGATGCCCAGCACGAAGCAGATGCTGTCCAGGATGTTGGACTTGCCGGAACCGTTTAGGCCCGTGATGGCCGTGAACTCGGGATCGAATCCCTCGATTTCCGTGCGCCGGCCGTAGGATTTGAAGCCATCTAGCACGAGCTTCTTTACGTACATTTTAAAGCGTTGCGGTTTGCCCAATTCACGGCGTTCTTTTTCGTTAAATTCCGCGTCAAAATTTTGCCGCAATTAGTGTGACCGTGGAAAGGCGTTAGATTTAAGCCGAAATGCCGGCACAGGAACGATTTCGATTAACGATTGTAGGCACTTTCACGTAGTGACGAAATGCACCGGTTTGTATATTTATTTCAAAAAGTCTAGTTGCTAAAATAATTATTTTATTTTATTATTTATTATTATTTTAATTATTTATTATTTATTATTTTATATAAATATTTATTGAGACGTTTCTTAATTAAAGATTAGCATGCTCGGCTAAATATTTAAATAATTAACTAAAATACATTTTATCTGAAAGTACCTTCGTCACCCGATTTCTTTACACATTTAAAAACTAAGAATGGATGATTTCGACGATGATTCCTTCAACGATGTTCTGGGCTCCATGGAAATGCCCACGGCGGCAAAGCAACCCAAAGTGGTGGAAGTGGCTCCACCGGCGACAACAGTTGCTCCCAGTAGCAGCACCTCCAGTTCCGCACCCTCAAATCCCGTGCCCGCCAAGCCGGCTTCCAATCCGCACAGCGTTCTCGTCCACAGCAAACAGCGCGGCAATCCCATCCTGAAATCCATACTCAATGTTCCTTTGGAATACCGCGACGATATCATCCCGGATTATGTTGTGGGTCGCACATCCTGCGTTTTATACTTATCACTAAAGTACCACAATCTGAATCCCGACTACATCTGCCAGCGGCTGAAGGCTCTGGGCAAGATGTACGAGCTGCGGGTGCTCCTGGTCCAGGTGGACACTCCAGAGCCACACAATGCCTTGAAAAGCCTCACCAGGATCTCATTGCTGGCCGATCTGACCATGATGTTGGCCTGGAACGCCGAGGAGGCGGGGAAAATCATCGAGACCTACAAGCAGTTTGAGAAGCGGCCACCGGATTTGATCATGGAGCGTGTGGAGTCCAATCCGCATCAGAAGGTATGAACTTGTGTTGAAATTCCCTTCATAATGATGAAATATCTTAAATGCTTTCCAGCTAGTGGCTGCTCTGACCAACATAAAGCCGGTGAACAAGACGGATGCCGTCACCCTGCTGCAAACCTTTGGCAATCTGGGCAACGTAATCACCGCCAGCGAGGAGCGATTGTCCCAGGTGATGGGATTGGGTCCTAGGAAGGCCAAGAAGCTGTACAAAACGCTGCAGGAGCCCTTCCTCAGCAAGTAGACCTATAATTTCGCTCGTCATTTGAATACTTTAATTTCTTATTAAGCAGAAACTGTACAAAAATCAAACGCCATTATTGTTTAACCACTTAAATATATAACACACTCATTGATCCAACTGCTACTCGGTTACTTTCCAAATCTTGATGGTTCCATCATCGCTGCAGGAGATCAGCTGCCCGGCCACCACTGGATTCCACTGCACCGAATTCACGTCCTGCTCGTGGGCACCCTCCTCCGCGGTGAGCGTTTCGAACGTGGGTTCGTCCGCCTTGGAGTCGCTGGTCTCCTTGAAGATGCGGATGCCATCATCCCCGCAAGCAGTGGCTATCATCCCCGTCAGTTTGCACCAGGACACATCGTAGATGGCCCGCGAGTGCTGGCCGGAAAGGGTGCAGACGCACTTCCACACGGTCTGCTTGTCGGGCGTGGCCACGCCGGCTTCGTTGCCCGGATGATAGGCTCGCCAGATCTTGATGGTGGTGTCATCGCTGCAGGAAACCAAGCGCTCGCCCTCCGCATCGAAGTCAATGCCCCAAACGGTGCTCGTGTGGGAAGTTAGCGTCGCTGTGCAGTCCCAGTCGTTGTCTATGGGGTTCTCGGCGAACATTTTGATGGTGTTGTCGTAGGAGGCGGAGGCCAGGACCTCCTTGGTCGGATGCCACACCACCCGCTTCACGTCCTGTGTGTGCGGATTCAAGACGGCGGCGCACTCGAACTCATCGTCGCCGGCCACCTCCCAGATCCACACGGACTTGTCCCGCGAACAGGTGGCCAGCAGGGAGCCCGATCTCGACCAGCTAACGCTCTTCACCTCGTTCTCGTGACCCTCTAAAGTCGCATTGCACTCGAATTCCCCCGAAGACTTGGACCAAATCGCTGTGGTGGCATCGAAGCTGGCCGAGGCGAGGTACTGGCCGCAGGGAGACCACCGGATCTCGCGAATGGTGCGCTTGTGGCCGTCGGAAAGAATCGTTTTGGTGCTCCAGGTGCTCCCGGTCAGCGACCAAATGCGAATGGCCTTGTCCTCGCCGCAGGAGGCAAACACGTTGCCCTTGGGATGCCAGGCCACGCCCCAGATGCGGCCCTTGTGGCCCTGCAGCGTGTGTTCCAGAATCAGACGTCCCATTTGCTGTTGAAGTGATGTATTAATGGATAAATCACTGTCTTCTTGTCTCTACGAAATTGATAACAAAAGCGCATGTGGCAAGAGGAAGAGAGTGTCAGCTGTTGTGAGTGCTGTAAAACGTTGAAGAAAAGGGAATACCCTAATTGTAATAGCTAGATGTAGCTATTAATCAGCTAGAGCTATACAGAAAGCGCAGAAAGTTTTTTTGTGTATAAAGGGCCGTTTTCTCGTCCGTTTGTTTAATTTAAAGTAGGGATAAAACCTTGAAATCCTATGGGAAATCAGAGTTTTAACCCTACTTTAAATTTAATAGACGGACGAGAAAAGGGCCCTTAGTGTTTTTCGGATGCTGATAAGAAAATGGAAAAAGGGAATACCCCAATGTAGCTATAAACTAGCTAGTGCTGTGTTATCAAAACTAACCGCATTCCCTTACCCAACACTTACCAGAAAGAGAAAGTTCTGTTGTGTATTTAGTGTTTTTCGGATGCGCTGATAAGAAAATGAACGGCCTGATTGTGTTTAACAGCGCCAACGACGTTGTGTTCCAGAAGCTGAACGAGCCGCTGACGCAGAAGATCAGGAATGTGGCCAACGCACAGGGCCTGCTCCGCTCCGCGGGCGGCCCCCTGGACAGCAACATCCTGCTGCAGATTTTCAGCCCCATCGTTGGTTCCCAGCGGATAATGCAGTGCCAGTTCGACAACGCCTACTCCAGCCTCCAGTGCGAGCAGGGCTTTAATTTGGTCTTTGGCGAACTGCTGGGCTTCACCTTCCTGAAGATCGGCCAGATTCCCGTCGAGCTGCTGGGCCGCCAAATGGGCGTGGCCATCACCTTGACGCGCTATTGTTATGGAGCCAACTTATTTGCCGCCCAGGCGGGTGCCATGCAACAGGAGCTGCTGACGCAGTGCCTCGACACCTACGAGACTCTGCTGTGGCAGGAGGATCAGACGTACCTACTGGAGGCCATGCCCAAACTAGTGATCAACGCGGAGCTCAAGAGGACGGTGCATTTGACGCTGGACGCCACGCTGGAGCACCTGCGTCAGCTGGGATTGCCACGGGCCCACGCCCTGCTGCTCGTCTCCCACAAACTGGTGGCCGTGAACAGCACTCACCAGGCTCTGCCGCTCGCCGCCGCCGATCTGCTGTTCCTCAGCCTCATGGCGCGATCCCTTCAGGCGCCCAAATCCCCCTCCCAGCGGGCAGTGGCCGTATTCCTGCAGGGCGTCTCCCACGACGTCAACTCCGGCTGCGTCCCGAGCATCGTACACATCTCACGGCTGCACGGCAACCAGGTGCTGCTGCAGGTCATCGAATATGCCCACATGCCGCTGACCAGCTGCATCTACGACTCGTTCTTTGTGCTCCAGAAGATCGTGGCCGTGCAGCATCAGGGCGACTCGGATGCCCTGAAGCCGGCCTACGATAATCTCGAGTCGTTTATAGTACAGGCCATCAATGCTTTGAAGAGATACCTGAAGCAGCGAGGGGAAACCGGGGATTTGGAGAACTGCACCAAGAAGTTTGCCGCCCGATGGGAGAACCTGCGAAAGATGTACTCGGAGTACTTTAAGAACTACGAACGCGAGCTTCTCGTGAGGATCGAGAGTAATCTGCCCGCATTTGGGGAGGAACTGAAGCAGATCTTCACGCTGGCCTGCTGCGACAGCTCCTGTGTCCACGAGCTGGACCAACTGGCCGATACGGCGGCCAATGTGGAGGCCAAGCTGCTGGAGTTTGCCGAATTCCTGGCCGTCAAGGCCACGCGCAACATTTCCATCGACGCTTATTTGGAGGACTTTCCCGGTCTGGTGCACTTTATGTACGTCAATCGCAGCAAGGGACAGATGCTGGCTCCCGATCTGCGACCCAATCAGCTGGTACCCAAGACGAAGCTCTGGAGCATGGTGGAGATCGCCAGGAGCTATCTGAAGAAGGGCCAGACGACGGTGATGTGGAAGGACAAGGCTTTCCACTACTCCTACTTCCTCTGGTTCGAGGATATGGCGGGCGGCATTCTCAGCACCGCCATGGATCTGCAGCAGCACTTCTTGTCCAGCGGAGCCGCGAGTGGCAATGGCTCGAAGTCGCCAACGGAACCGGGCGCTCTGACCATGGACTATTACCACGATCTGGCCGACTTGTGCTTTCCCAAGCTCTCGCCGGCCAAAGTGCGCGTCTACGAGTTGTACTGCATCCATCTGGGCTTGGTCACCGCCACCTGTGCCGTGGAGCACGCCCGTCGACTGGTGGCCACCATCAGCGATGTAGTGGGCGAGGAAACCTTTTAAATCCAATTCCAGCATTCCCAAAGCAACATTCCCAGCGTTAGAACATGATTTCTAGTCAATTTAGAAGACTCCCTGAGGAGATAACTAGAGTCCTGCATGAGTACACTTGAATTGACAAACAAGTCAATTTTTATTTTGATTTTTTCATAAGGAAAAACCAGTGTTTTAATTTAAAATAAATAGATATCAAATAATTTAGAATCACCGAAATAATTTGCTTAGTAATTGCATCACTCCCACTCACTTTTATTCTGAGCTTGTTTTGTTTTTCCTTACGAGTGATTAAGTATTTTCAAAAAATTTACTTGTTTTTCAATTCAAATGTACTAATGCAGGACTCTAGAGATAACCCAAATCCAAAATTCATTAGGCTAAGGACAACTATCCACTGTTTGTTATAGGCTAAAACCACATAAAGATACTCGTATTTGTAAAATAATTGGAAACATTTTTTTTTCTTCATTATTGCAATAAAAACGTAACAATTAACCCAGCTTACTGAGCTTCTGATTCTTGCGCCTTCTTCAGCTCCTCCAGCTTCTCGAGGAAGAAGGACTTGCGGGCTGTTAGAGGCATGGATTTCTGGCGCAGCATATAGTTCTCGTTGCCCAGGGCGGTGTAGGTGTCGTCGCCAATCAGATCCCTCAGCGCAATGTTCTTCTTTAAATGCTTGTCATAGTAACCGGCTCCGGCGGCCACAAACTGAGCACCCATGCTGGCCAGCCGCTTGTCGATCTCTGCGTCCGTGGCCACCTGGTTGTAGTCCTTCATAAAGGACCAGATGCCCAGGCCAAACAGACCCAGAATGCTGTATAGCACAAAGCGAACCTGGGGAGGGTCAGAAAGGAAATCATTAGAGGTTTTTATAAGCTTAAATAAATAAAAGGAATCTCACGCTTCCATGGCGGGCGAATAGATCCAGCCGCAGGTTCAGGAAGTGACCAATGGTGTAGACCATTAAGAAGCTAACGCTGGGGAAGATCGAGTTGAGCAGCACCCGATGCGTTTGCAGCTGCAGCACCGCCTTACTGAGACCAAAAATCTGCTCATCGTCATTCAGAACGATGGCCTGTTCCAGGAGCTTGCCGCTCGGAGAGCTCCAGTTGATCTGTTGGTCCCTGAAGCGAATGTCCGCTCGCTTGATCTCCTCCGTGCTGCCATAGCCATAGTTGACGGGAATCCCGAGGGCGCCGCCGAATCGCAACTTGGTGGTGCCCGCCTGGAACAAATCGAATCCAAAGACGGTGAAGGGCTTCACGAACTTGCGCTCAAAGGGCGTCAGGCCCAGCTTATCCAGGGCCTTCTCCAGGCGCTGCTGCACTGCCTCCGGCACAGGACGCTCCACGCCGTGTCTGTAAAAAGGGTAAAGAATTAGAATGACTCCTGGCTGCAACCATTTGCTCACCCACTGGTAGCACTGCACGAATTCCCGGTAATACTTCAGGCCAAACGTGTGCGGCAGGAAGTTGCCCACAAAGAGACCCACTGTGGTGGCCCCCGCCGCATAGAAGACCAGCTTCCGGCCCTTTTCAGTCTTAAAATAGGAGAATAAACCCCCACCGGCTTTTAATTTCGGCTGCATTTTTGTTTTGTAATAGTGCCAGGGTGACCATCACTGGGATAGGGGCACTTAGCCGAGACCAGAACCTAATAGGGCTATTCTAGTAACAGCTTTTTAAAAATTTATGGAAAACATTTAATTATAAAATATTTTACTAAAAGACCATAGTAAAGTAAAAAAATCATTAAAATTACCTATTTTCTATGTATTATTATTTTTTTTTTTATTTTAAAATTTAAATCAACAGTGAAGTGATATTCGAATATGTTTTCTACAACGTTTTAAATTTTAAACAAATGTAGCAAAATGTATTTACCCATTCCCCAAATGCAGTCTGATTTGTAATACCATTTGTATAGAACCCAGAAAAACCCTGTTTTTCATGTTGTAAAAAATAAAACAAATCTAAACCTTTCAGCCAGAAGATTCAAATCTGCCATTTAGTTTGTATTTTTTTCACGCCGTATCTTGTTAAAAGAACTATACAACTTTACTTAAGCCTAAAAGTTAACCTAACTGCTGGCCGCGCTCTGCAACTTAACGTCGACTACAACTACGTGGTTCTTGGCCTCCTTGAGTCGCCACCAGCGACCCAGGCGGTGCTCCTGGCCGGCGGCCACATACAGCTTGGTGCCATCGCCATTGAAGGTCAGTCCGTTAATGAAGCCAGCGATGGATATGCTCTGGATGAGTTGCATTTTGCGCGCATTAGGATTAGTCTGCCAGAGACGAACGCAACCATCACAGGAGCCTAAGAACATAACAAAATCTGGATTTACTACAATTCGGAGTGGGAATTAAGAGTTATTTGCCCACCTGTTGCCACTAAATCCGTGTTGACCACAACAGCAATGGCTGTTATCCAGTTGGCCACGCCATTATCCCCTTTTCCATGCGCCAATTGTGTCGTGCAAATGGGCTTCTTCTTCAAAGCACTCCATAAACTGATGGCACTGTAATAATAAATATTGTTATTTCCATACTCCTTAAATCATTAGATGTCTTCCTATTTACCCATCCATTCCGCCAGACACAAAGTGCTCATCGTTGATGTACTTTACGCACTCAATGCTCTCCTTGTGCCCGTTGTAGATAAGCTGCGACTCCTCTGTGATCTTCCAGATGCGCAGGGAACAATCCGATCCGCCGGCAGTGATGGCTCGCTCTCGACTGAGTGCATCTATGCTGGTCACTCCCGTTTGGTGACCGAATCTAAGGGTTAAATATGGGTGAAATGAGCATATTATTAGGTGTTTCTTTTAGTTTTCATGTAGAGCCTTGCGTGAATCATTCAATTTTTGTTTTACCATGAAATTTCTGATTTGTTTAATTCAATTCTATGTGAAATAAATTGAATGTTTTTCTAATTTTGAATTGAATGAATGAATGAATAATTTTTATGAATTTTTTTAATTTGCCATTTTTTTTTTTGTGCTTTCTTTTGAGAACAAAAAGTGGAACATTTTTAAAAAATCAATGTGAACTGCATAGAAAATAAAATTCATGTAGATTTAATCACAAAATGATGGCACTTACGTTTGAATTATTTAGGAATTCATGCCGTTCTTTCATTCAATTCTATTAAACTCAAAATTCAAATTAATTTAATTCTACCAAACTCAAAATTCGAATTAATTCATTCATATAAAACAAAAACTTCAAAATAATTCATTGAATCCAATCATGCAGGGCTCTTTTTTCAACTCACAAACTCTCCACATAGGCCATCTCGTCCAGGGACCAGATCTTCACCGATCGATCCTTGGCCGCCGAGTACAGATCGTGTGTTCCCTTGCGGAAGACCAATCCAGCCACACAATCTCGGTGTCCCTTTAGGGTCTTCACATGCTTCATTGTCTGCGGACACCAGATTTGGATGTGGGGACCACCTTCGGCCAAGGCCAGATACTTCATGTCCGAGGACAGGCAGATGGCGATGACATGGGAGCGCCTCTTCTTGGTTGTTTCGGGTTCCTCGCGATGCGACAGGACATCGGATTTGTCCAGCACCTTCCCCGTTTCCGTGCACCATTTGAGTAGGAATTGCGATTTGGCACCGGTGTACAGGAACTTGCCATCCGGACTGAGGGCCAACGCGCAGATGGGCGTGTGGTGGATCTTGTGCTTGAGGATGCGACTCGATTCGCAGGTTTTCAGGCTGCCAGCGATGTTCCGTCGCAGTTTGCCCACGCTGTCCAGGTATTCCGTTTGCAGGCGCTGCTCCACGCTCTGCGCCAGCTCCCGATCCTCGGCGCGATCCGCCTCCTGTCGCTCGATCTCCGACAGATACTGCTTGGCCAGACGGAGCCGCTTGTCCTGCGGCGTCTCCTCCTCGCCCTCGTCGGAGGAAAAGGCGAGTGTGTTGCCGCCCAGGTCGCTGTTGTACTCCTCATCCTCGCTGGCGATCTCCTCGTCGTCCTCCTTGGGTCGACGCTGCTTCTTTGGTAGTGGGCCTCCTGCTCCTCCGGCAGCTGAAGATTTTCCCGGTTTTCCGCCTTTTTTGAGGGGCTTTCCTTTTGTTGTTGCTGCAGCTGCGGGATTCTTTGAAAAGCGTTACAGGTGCCTCTCCTCAAGCGGTGTTTTTCACTTACCTTGCGCTTCTTGGTGCCCTTGGCGCCTGGCTTGAGGAAGAAGGAAGACGACATCTTGGGTTTTCACTATTTCTGCGTGTTTAATTCAATATTTATTATAAAAAACTTAATTTAAACGGAGGAAAGGAACGTGCCCACGTGCATATAACAAGGCGCGTGGTCAATTTTAGTGCATTTCTTGCCAGTCAGCTGTTTTATGGAAACATGACCACAAGCTGATTGCTTTAAAATTTTGAACTAATATGGCAACCCTTAAGGGGCGCCAATTCTTAAAGACCTAAAAAATAATCTAAAAACTGCATTATTATAAGCCCTTAACTTGAAACCCCATCCAAAAAATAAAAACTTTGATTTAATCTTGAATATATACCTTTATTACGAACTCTTTAGTTATATTTCGATTATATATCAACTAAGAACTAAAAATCATAAAATAATGGATTAAATATTTGCAGTTGGATTTATTTTTCGTTGTTTATTTTCTCAAATCGGCATAAAAAATATGCATTATTACACATTAGTTGGGCTGGTTTTTAATGGTCAAAGAAATGTGTCGAGTTTGCTAGTGTTATAAAGTTATCACAAATTATGTATACTCTGTTTTTATTCTGTAAGTTGTAGATTTCTTTCTTTTATTAAATTTTGCCAGTTATTTGTTTTTTTAGGTAATAAATTATTTATGATGCGCCGGAGGGGGGAAAATATTTGGGTACCTACAAGATCACGAGGCGACGCTCTCCGGCGGAGAACGACTCGCTGGCTATCTAAAACTAAGTAACGTGTAAAAGTAATTGTAGTTAAAAAATTAAATAGGAATATATCGCTGGCTGATCGATCCCTCGATTTACATGATCGAGCACAGGCCCGAAGTTTCGATGCCGTTCTGCACCTTCTTCGTCCGCTTCAGCGTGGCGTTCCGCAGCGCCGGCTTCATCTCCACGACGGGTTCCGGATCGGGTTCAGCGGCGACTGCAGGCGGCGGCGGGGTGGGCGATTTCCGGCTAGCTGTCGTCTCCGCCGGCAAAGATGCAGATGCACTGGTGCTACTGCTGTTGCTGCTGCCGCCGTAACTGCTGCCAATCACCGAGATCGAGCTGATTACGCTGGAGGATGGAGTGCTGGTGGCTATCTTGGGCACAAACGTATTGCCGCCGCACAGCACTGGAATGGTGGAAATGGTCTGAATGGCGTTCACCTGCTGCTGCGCGGAATCTCCACCAGCAGCGGCATCTCCTCCTCCTCCTCCTGATCCACCGATGACGCTGATGGCCGAGACTTGCGAATCCGTCGTCGTCGTGGCGTTGGAGGCACTATTATGACTATTACTACTCGTATTCTTAGTGATATTTATCTTTATTTTATTAACTATGCTAGCCAAAGGTAACGCCGGACCCACTGCGCTCAGGTTATGCGTGGACTCCTGCCGCTCTCCGTTGAGTTCCGCTTCTGAATCCACCACGGCGGCCACTGAGGCATCTGCCTGCTCCGCCACCTCGTCCTCCGCTTCGTTGGCGGGCAGGGAGAGCGACGTGACCGAGGCGGGCCGTTCGATGGTGGCCGGCGAGGCCGAGGAGCCGATGGTGTGCGTTTGAGTTTCTGCCAGGATGCCATTATCATTTACTGGGGGTGGGAATTCGTCACTTGATAACTTACCGCTGCTGTGTATGGAGATCTCGTCCTCGGGCAAAGGTAGGAGGGACACCACAGTGCCCACATCCTCGAAGCCATCGTCCTCGTCATCCTCATACTCGTCCTTGGGCTCTTCCTTGATCTTCACATTGAGCAGCGCCGCTCGGGTGGCCTCATCCATCTCCTTCTCCACATAGGTGTCCAGATCGGTGAAGGGAATGTTTGGCTCTTGGATCTCCACATCCGACTCATTGGCCGATTCGCTTTGTGGCTGTTCCTTCTCTTTCTCCTGCTCCTTTGTCTCGGAACTGGACTCTGGCTTGTCCTGCGACTCGTTGCCCATGTCCGCTCGCGTCACATTGCCCGGAACGTATTCATCCTCGTCGTCGTCATCGACGATTTCCGTGACACTGGGCTCTTCGTTGGGCAGCACAATGACATCGTCGTCATCGTCATCTATAATAGACTGCGATGGTTTGACGGCACCTATTTAAAAGAAATATATTTAATACTAAAGATCCTTGAAATTCACAAAATCCAAACCCACCTTCTTCATCATCGTCGTCCTCCACTTTGATCAGTGTGTCCATGGCATTATCATCGGTGTTGTTCATGTCCACATCCTTATCAGACTTAACCTCCGCTGGCGGATTCAACGAGGCCTTGTAGTCCTCGTAGCACAGCGGATGGTAGATCTTATCCTCCACACGAATGGCGCTGCGCAGATGCCACTCCTCGAGCTCTTCGTTGTAGAACTGCTCGAACTTCTCGTGGCACATGTCGCAGCAGTGATCCACGTCATCGGTTCCAGCCGCACAGGTGGGCACCGGTGAATCCAGCGAGCGTTGCTGCGACAGCTCTTCGAGCGCCTCAATGCCGCCAGGCTGTCCCTGCGCCTCGAGGAAATTCTTCTCTCGCTCCTCCACATCTTCGATTTCCTCGTACTGCCGCCAGTCGTTGAGATCGTAGTACCATCTGCGGGAGGTGGCCTTCCTGGTGGAATCCCGCTCCCTCCTGTTCTGCCGGAAGTGCCAATCCAAATGCTGGCTGTACTTGATGGTCTGCTCTGGCGGGAACCGCACTCCACAACTGCTGCACTGCATTCCCAGGTAGAGAGTGGCCACCACAGCAGACTGGCGGGTCTTGATGGTTTCCGGCTTGTGGAGATCGATGCGCTTGATGGGCTCAGCAGGCACTGGAGCAGGAACAGGAGCAGCTGCTGCAGTTGCTTTTGCAGTTGAGGGTTCGCTGGCAGGAATAGTTTCTTCTTTTTTAGACGCCGAAGAATCTGCAGCGGGCACAGCAGCAGCTCCTCCAATTATTCCCGAAGAAACAAGCTTCTGGAACAAATCATTGATGTTTAAGCTCTCCAAAGCTGCGGCGGCTGCTGGCAGGGAAATTGGAGCTACGGCAGCGGCAGCAGGCGCCTGTTTGGGTTGCTCCACCACGGGCGGTTGTCTCACAATCATCGGCGGCGGCTTGGGTGGCTCTGCGGGAGCTTCAGTCTTAATATAAACCATATCGGCCACATGTGTCCTGCCCGCAATGACTCCTTTGGGCAGCGTTCCAAATCTTATAAAGCAGCTGCGTCCGCCATTTAGGGTCATTCCCTTGGGCAAACCACCGTATTCGATTTTCTGCAGCTGTCCGTCGAGCAGAGCGTACTGGAAACTGTCCACAAACTGCAGCGAATGCTGTTCGGCGCCCAGCTGAAAGGTCTGCTGCCTGGCGTCCAGGAAGAGGGGCACAATATTATGCGCATCCACAATCATATTGATCTTGCCCACAACCAGATCGCGACGCACTCGACCAATGTCCACATTGGGCGGCGGACCCTCTGCCTTGATCACATGCATCTTGTTGCCAATGGGCAGGGATACGGGCGGCCCACCAAAGTAGATCTCGTACCAGTGATCGTCGATGTAGAGCTCGCGGGATGGGAAACCGAAGCGGATGCGGTGCAGCTGACCGTCCAACTGGAACGGCTTGTAGTCGTCGTTGAAGCACAGCGGCAGCGGTTCATTGTGATCGATTAGGATCACCCGTTGGCCCGGCTGGAAACCAATTTCATGCGGCTGATCGCCGTCCATAAAGATGATGGCCACTTGGTTGTAGAAGCGAATCTCCTTGGATCCTCCGTCGATGGTGATGCTGCGCACCACATCGGCCATGGGATTGTCCAGGGAATTAATGGCCTTGGTCATGGTTACCGGGGGAACTGGTGGAAGGCCCATCATCGACGGCGGTTGCGGTGGCGGCGGAACTGCCGACTGGGCCATCACCATGGCCGGTGGCTGTTGCCAAGGCATTCCACGGAATCCAGGTTGCTGCGGCTGCTGAACGGGCATTTGGATCCCCACGCGTTTTATGTTGTTTATATTGTTATTGTTATTATTATTATTCGCATTGGCCAACTGCCAGGCATTGCGTTGTGCCACACCAGGATCCACTTGATCACCCCATTTGCTGGGCTTGCGACGCTTAATGTCCCGCTTGGTCTTGTCTCTCTTTACGGAGGGCTTCTCTGGAGCAGGCACCACCGGTTGATCCTCGTAGCGAGGCGAACCATCGCTGCGCGGCGAGCCAGAGGAATGATTTTCGTTGCCCTTCAGCTTGGGAATGCGTTTGCGTAGCACTGCATCCCTGGCTGCATTGCGCTCGAGATCATCATCCCTTCGCCGGGCATCCTTCTTCTTGCTGGTCTCATTAACCAGGTTTTGGACCAGATCCTTGTACTGTTCCTGGTTCATGCCGTGATTCTCGTACATCTCCTGCGCCTGGCTGAGAATCGTGCGAACTTTCTCGTCGTGCGCCTCCTGCGAGTCATCGTTGGCTTTTAGCTCAGCAAGCTGCTTAATTCGCTGTGATACTGCTTGATCCTTTGCTTTGTCTAGAGGGGATTTAAGAAAATAGATTAAGATTAGAAAATAAGAAACTTCTAAATCAAGTATATTTCAAATCTTAATTACACTAGTCGGGGCTTTCCTTGTATTTTTTATAATTTTTTTAAAATAGCTAAAAATTACAATTCTGGCCGCTTTTTCCTCCTTTTCATAAAATTTTTTTTTTCCATTCAAAAAATCATAAAAAATACAAGTAAAAATATTTTGAAAATTTTTTTTTACAGGTTTTATTAATTTTGCTTGGGGAAAAACTTTGTATCAAAACATTTTTGCTTTAAGCACCAGGAAAAAAAATTGGAAATTTGACTTTCACAAAATTTTCTAAGTTTTCAAAGAGTGTTTAATTAAAGTGTCAACATTGAAAATATGAATCAACATTCAAATCTGTCAAAATAATTATGCCGACTAGTGTATATGATTATTTGGTTTATCTTATAGTGATTACTTACCAGACTTTCCCATTTTATTCTCCTGTCTAGCTGAATTGGCCAACTTGGCCCGCACATCACTAAACGTGGCCCTCTTTGGAGGCGAACCAGATTTCTTCGTTGGCTAAGGTTCAAAGTAAAGTTAATTATCATCAATTAATTAGATCGATATCAATCCTACCTTGCTGACATCGCAGTTATCCATGGAGTCGTCTTCCACAACAATTACTCCTGGCTTAACAGCTGGAATCTCGCGGCGCAGGTCCACATCTTCACTGCCAAAGAGACTAAAAAAGCAACCAATATGAACAACATCCCCTAAAGAACTCGAGAGAATCACTTACGCATCCAGTTTGGTTGACTTGCTGCGCTTCTGCTGCGGCGGCTGCTCCTCGTCGCCCATCTCCGGAGGCAGGTCGTCGGCGGGACGCTTCTCGGCGGCACCGGAGGCGCCACCTTGCACCTGGAGCAACTTGTTGATCGACAGCTGCAGGGCATCGGATACATTACCCTGCGAGGAGACGGACGAGGACGAGGGACTGGGCGATGGCTGCCTGACTGATGATGCTGCTGCTGAAGTCGTGGAATTGGGATTTAGCAGTGATGCTGTTGATAGATTCGCTGTAGATTTTTCTAACTTATTAAACTGTTTCTGTATTTTGAACGACACTTTTGCGGGCAATTTGGAAGTGGACGCGATTGGCGGGGAGGCGTTGGAGGCGCCACTAGCTAGTATTATTGTGCTGCTGATGTTGCCGCCAATACCAATTGGTTCCTTCTTCTCCTGGCCTTCCGATGCTTCCGAGTCGAATGTTGGGGGAGGCGGCGTCTTGGGCCGCCTCAAGTCAATGTCCATACTCGATACATCTATGATCGGCGGACTTGGAGGAGCTGGAGGAGGGCCTGGTTCGAGTATTTGAAATGTAGCTAGAAAATTCATTTTGCTTGTGGGCACACATTTTTTTTTGTCTTACGGCAGAGGAGTTTGTAATCAGATAAAAGCAAAGGAACAACGAAAAGTGGGAGAAATTAGGAAGAAAGTGCTAAGCAAACGAAATCGGGGGGTGGCAAAATCATAAGGGGAACAAGGCCAACAAACACCAGGCACAACAATCGGGCTAGAGAAATGTATAAAAACTAATGCGAATAAATCATAATTCAAGAATTCCACGGGCTCCGTTGGGGAACCAATGCGAAATCTAAGGTTAGACTATAAAAAATCAAATAAAATAATTAATAAGGGGAATAATTAGGGGGATAAAAGTGCCGTTCTACAAATACAAAATAATATAGATACATATACGGATACAGCTAGCTGGCTCGTATTTACATGGAAGCCAACTACAACGTACTCTTAAAACAAAAGTAAACTTAATCTGGTTCTATAAATTCCAAAGGTTTCAATTAGTTTAAAAATATATGTTTGTTCACTTCGGGTTTACACGGTTGTTGTTGTTATCAAGAAATTAAAACTGCAGTCTTTATTTTATTTTAGTTTCTCTTCATCTCTAATCAATGCATATCAATAGTCGGTTTAATAAGGTACAAGAAATACTTCACAGTTTAATCATTATGGTTTAGTTTTGGTTCGCTTTCAATTTAGTTGTAGTACTTGGTTGGTTTGACATTCACAAAACGAAAATCAACTTTAGATCATACCAAAGGCGGCACCTGGCTACGTTTTGCATTAATTAAAACAACTTGGAATGCAAAAGGTTTTTAAACACATTTTATTTACACTTTGGTTTAGAATTGTCAAACTTTTCATGAATTCTTTAAAGCACTCTTAAGTATTTATAAAAAAATATGGCACAGATATTTGATTAGTTGCCTTAAAACGAAACAAATTCCCCGCTTTCCCATTCCCAAAAAAAAGTTGGGGCCAGAAAACAACGAAGGATGCACAAAGTTCCAGCAGGAATCTTTTTAAGGGTAATTTATGCAAATTATGATGATCAGTAAGGTACTGATAATAGCAGAAGATTTGAAAAACATCTCGGATTGCCGCTCCAGCAGGAACTTCATTTAATTGTATATGCAATCGAGTTTGGTAGAAAATCAAAATTATTAGACAATAGTATCACAGTTTTACTTATCACAGAGCAGAAGTTTTCCACTTGTCAAGCACACATGGTCCCAAAAACCCGCCCTTCCACCTGCCTAAGCCACAGAGTGCCGCCATTCTGGTTGATCTTTTCGGAATTCTCAACTAAGCTGTCTGTAGGTCTAAATTCCGAGTCGCAGACGACTGGGTTGTTCGCTAACAAGTGTGAGATTAGAATTAAAAGTTGTTTCTTACGTTTCTCTAAATCATTTGATGCTTTAGGTGCTGCTGCTGCTGAAGAGGCGGCCACCTGAGCTACTGCCGCCTTGGTCTCTGGTGACTTGCCGCGCAGATCAACGTCCATGAAGACTGGCGATCGACTGCGCGATCGTCCCGAAGAAGATGGCTTTCCTCGCGACGAAGATGAGGACGACTTGTGGGACGCACTGCGCTTTGACTTGGAGGGCGAACTACTCGGCGAACTGCTCTTGCGCTTCGAAGATCCCGTGGGCGAGCCATTGCGAACATAGCGATCCGACGGCTCCTTCGACGAATGCTTGCCGCTTCGCTTCACCGGCGACTGGTTGGAGCTGCTGCTGCTGTTGCTGCCGCTCTTGTGCCGCACTTCCGATCCCGACGAGGACGAGGAGGCAGTGGAGCTCTTGGACTCGCTGCGCTTGCGGCTCGACGAGCTGCTGTGATGAGAGCTTCCACTTCCACTCTTTCCCGAGCGACTGCTGCTGTTGCGCACTGGCGATTTGCTGCGCGATCGACTAGATTTCTGTGTAGAGCTGGACGACGACTTGGCCTCCAGGCGGGGATCGTTGCGAGCTGGCGCGGCCGGATGTGAGGACTGCGGCTGCATTTGACGCGCCAGTCGCGGATCTCGTTGGCGTACTGAATTTAAGAGCGCCGGATTGACGGGATTGACCTTTGGCTTGTTGGCAAATTGCTGAAAGTATATTATGACATTAGACTTTGTTATACCTTTCACCACACACTTTCTAATCCTCACCTGCTGTGGCATTATGGGACCAGCATTGCCCGGTGCGCGTTGATTGCGCATTGCCAGCCCGGGATCCATGATGGGCGGACGAATAGCAGCTGCGTGCGGAGCAGGCATGGCCCCGCTACCAACAGCCATGGCGTCAGTGGCCTGGTTTAGCTGGCGCTCCTGCTCCTCTAAATGCTTCTTGGTCTGCTCCAGCTCAAGTTCCAGTTTGCGCTTCTTAAGCTCCAGCAGTTCGCGAGTCTTGGCCTGCAGTATCTCCTCCATGTCGCTGGGCAGTGTGGGATTGACGGGCATCACGGGCACCATACCCTATAAAAGAAGAATATGTTAGTCTATCTATCTATCTATAGATTTTTCCCTTGCTTTCCCTTACCGGTTTTAGAAAGTCCGGGTTCACATGAATGGCCGGATTGACGTGGATCTTTTTAGCCGGCTGTTTGGCGGTGATGGGCCAGTTGTTATCCAGCTGCTTCACCTTCACATCCAGGGCGTACATCTTGGAGGGCGGGAAGACCTCGTTCCAGGTCTGTCGCAGGGCGTACATGCGTTCCCGCACCTTTTCCAAAAGCTGCGACTGTGAGTGCTGAACCTGCATGATAGAAATACAAATAATTAGCCATCTTACTCCGCAGATAGGTGAAATGATTTAATAGCCACTTACCGACTCAAAGGCGTGCAGGAATATGTTGACTATGCATTGCCCAAACAATTGGACGTAGCTGCTTTTCACATTCTTTACTATCGAATCAATTAAATATAGTATGGGCAATTTAAATTCGGGCGGCACCTGTTTGAAGTTTGGTAAAATAGGTAAGAAATAAAGAACAATAAGTGTCTACGGAACGTCGCTAGCAGAGATTCAGACAAAAAAGGGGCAGAGAACTAAAAGGGGGCAACACAACACAGCTGGGTCAGCGATCCTCCATCGAAGTCATCCTCCTCAGCGGCTGCTGGGTGAAGGGTTCCTCTTCTTTTAAGCTTCTCCAAGGCAAGGCGACCGAACTCAAGCAAATTTCTACCGCAGAGAGGAGTACTTTTCCCAAAGCTTGGGTCCTAACTACATATATCTTAGGGTCTCCGAGAACATTAAGGGTTACATGTGTTTGCGTAGATGTTAGCAGGTTTGTTTCCCTTTTCCGAGCGAAATGTGAATGGAAATTACACCGTGAAAATGTGGTAAAAAAAAATACAGAGGGTTTACTACTTATAAGACTTTTTAGTTTATCTGCAGGTTTTTACTTTTACCAAAACTTGCTTTTCTCTTTTGGTAATACAAAAATTGCTGCACATCAATTATTGATGATTGATTGTAAGCAGTCAATGTTTTTGTATAAAATAAAAGACAACTTGGTGACAATTGTTTAAGTATTTTCTCTTTTTATTTCATTTTTCAGTTTTCTTTTTATCTTTTTAGTTGGTTTGTTATTCCTTAGCTTTAAACTCTGGGATCCAAAGTAGAAAGAAATAAGAAACGAGGAGCAGGTTAAACTTCTTACCTTTGTAGAGGATAAAAATCAGTCACGTCTTAGAACCCAAATTATGTGATAAATATTAAGATTATTAGGAACCTATCTAGCATTTTGTGACCGTGTGTTCTTTGCAGAGAAAACCAAGGAAGGGGAGAGAAAAGCACAAGAACTATGGGATATACAAGGGCTTTCTTGGTTTTCCCTGCAAAGAAACGGCAACCGTAAACAATAAACTGCACATTCTATCGCAATTTCGACATGGAGAATCACTTTCTTGTGTGTCGACCTTCTGTTCGCTGTGTGTAAGCTGGTGTGTCTTGGTTTTTAAGTAAATACGCTTTTGTTTTGTTAACCTGGCTGATGTAATATTCCACCACTTTGACAATGATATGGGCGTAGTTGATGTTCTCCTCGGCGAGCATGGTGAGCATGTTGATGAGCGGCTTGCTGTTGCAGTTGAGGTCCTGCAGGCTGGACAGGTACTCCTCGCCGATCCTCCGCTCATCGTCGCGGCAGCTCTGAAATAGCTGATCCATTGTGGACTCCGTTTCCAAGATCTTGATCCTGCTGTTGATCAAGTTTTTTGGTTTGCAAGTAATCGCAGTTGCTAGGTTTTTGCTGCAAGGGAAAGTACAAAGAACTGCATTAAATGACTTGGCAAACAAAGGTAATCAAATAACTTGTCAATCTTTGATTTTTCAACTCCGATCGATTATATTCATGACTTAGGGTAGTCATGGATATTAAATAGTTGGAAAAACAGTTTAAGAAAAACCCTTATTTTAAGTTATTTGTAGTTTAAGTACAAATTAATTTCACAATATATGCAATTATAAAGTTAATATTAACCCCTTAGTGCCCCTGAATGAATACAATATCTTTCAGATTTTTCATAGAGTTTAGAAAAAGAGATTCCATATGTCAGGTAACAACCCTTCTTTTTACCTTTATTTTTAAGTTATTTAAAGATAATTTAGAGGGTTAAGGCTAACATTACAAGACTTTGGGTAATCCCCGATATCTGGCTATATATTCCACACCAGACGTAAACAATCACGCGCGTCCACAAACAACAAGCCACTCTATTATATACATACACACACACACGATGGCAACGAAAATTCAATATGGCGACCATGAGGCATATTTTTCGCATGTGTGGCTGCCAAATAAAATAACCAATAAAGTGCATATTTACGCATTTTTGACAACGATTCAACCGCCAATACAATATGTTTATGTTTTTCTTTGCACTGTCTAGTTTTTTGCGCTATTTAACAGTATTTTTGCCACAGACAAAGCCACGTTTATGCCACCAACACATGCACACGCGAATTTTCATTTCGATTTTAAAGTACTTTTCTACGACGCAGGAACTTTCAAAAACATACCTTTTTATGCTAATACATTTGTACAATCACTGCCAGACACTTTTGCGAAGGAAAATTTCAAAAAAGCACTGTTTAAATATAAAAATTAGCGTTTGAAAACTTTCACGTAACAACTGCGATGTATTTTTGATGAGTTACTTTACTAGTGTGACCGTAGCTAAAACTAGAGGTGGAAGGACGTCGATTGTTGTGTTACTCGATAGACTCGATGTTCTTTCTTAACATTTATTTAGTTTTAAATGGGTTTAGGGTATTCATTAAACTGTTGAATTACTGAATTCTTGAAATACAACGGCCATTTTTTCAATCAAAACATTTTCACATTTGCATTTTAAACGATAAAAATGCATCCTAAAAAGCTTTAATTAATTGTTAAATTTTTCAAAACTAGAAATATGTTTTATTGTATTTAGATAAAAAATGTGGGCATTACTAAAACTTGCACCTCCCCCGACCATTTTAACGGTACACAAAATAATCAGGTACTTTCTAAAAGTTGCTTTCAGCAAGCGAGTTCAACCAAAACTCAGGGACCTGTTCCTGCCTGTAGTTTTAATCAGCATTCGCCCACTTTCTTATCTTCACAGGCCAAAATACATACATACATATGCAATTAGTACAGTGTATTAATACAGAATCCGAAAAAGGGATTTTTATTTCCAAGAGTTTCGTTTGGGAATCGTAAGTTACATAGTATTATTATCGTATTGCTCCTCCTGGTCCCTTGGCCACTTGCTGCATCTTAGGATCCCACGATGATGTTGTTGATGGGGATGTGTATGAGTTTCACGAAGAAACCGATGAAGCCCATGATGCAGAAGCCAACGGCGGTGGCGATGGCGATTTTCTGGAACTCCTTCCGGTCGGGCTTGGTGCAGCGTTTCACCAGGCGAATAGAGTCCTTGGCGAAGAGGCGTCCGGGCTCGGCAAATTTAACAACCTTGTCCATTATGAATTAAAGCGTGTGTTCAACAGAAAATTTCCAACTATTAACTGATTACAGTTTTTTTTGCTGTCGTGTTGGTTCTTGAGTGTTACCAGATGAAAGAGTAGTCAAAAGCTACTAAAATTGGTCAAAAAAAAAAATTAGAGGTTTATTTATTTATCTATTATATTAAACCATAACTCATTTTATTTACTTATTATTCGATTTATTTTAAATAATTAAGCTATTTAATATCATAGTTATTTAAAAACTATAAACTTCCAATTTTGAAAACAACTATTGATATTTTTCTACCTTTTGACCAACGGTCACACCATTAACAACCATCTAATAAAATCGCAACAAATATGTGATTTTCTTGCGCATTAAAAATGGAGGAATCACCTTACCTGCACAGCCCCTACCAGGTGTCCATCATCGCCACCGATCTGCACCACGAGGACACCATAATCCAAGCAGCCCAGTCCCTGGACTGTCTACACAAAACAATAAACTCGATTTTCGAGCGAATCGATGCCCGCTTGGCGAGAAATGGTTCAAAGGTTGAGGACATAAACAATCGTGTGAAGCGCGCCCAGGCGAAAATCGATGCGCTCGTTGGCTCCAGGCGGGCCATCCAGATCTTTGCACCCGCTCGCTTTCCGGCCGGCGACGTCCTGGCCCCGCTCCTGGCCACCTTTCCCCAGGTGGTCTCCGATCCGCTGATGGAGGAGCAGTTGCAGGAGCACCAGTCGCAGCGCTCGCAATTCGGCAGTCCTCCAGACGAGAAGCAGGAGGATGGGGACATCTTCTTCCATGTGCGCGGCGACCGGGAGCATGAGGCGCCGCTGGTCGCCGAACGGAAGCTAACCAATCGCACGGCGGGCCTGGGAGCCCTTCCCCTGGCCGGAATTCGTTCCGTGCCCTCGCTGATGCGCTTCAACACCAATGAGTTCGCCTACGGCGAGGATCTGAATGCCTGGAAGCGCTCGCTGCCGCCGCAAAGTGCCCGTCGAGTGGCCAGTCAGTCCATGAGGCCCACGGCGGATAAGCTGCTGGCTCCGGCTCCCCATTCGCTGGCCCATGGCACCACCAAACTGGCCACGCCAGCCGGGGATCTGCGCTACAATCCTGCCGCCCTGGCTGCACCCGCCATCGATGTGCCGCTAGATCTGCCCGATCTCCCTGGCATAGCCAATGATCTGCAGTACGAGCCTGTGGAGGAGCAGACACCAATAGCCCCCTCCCAGCAGTTCGGCGACCTGCCAGATCTGCCCGACTTGGGCCTGGAGGAGCAGGAGATCACGGTGCAGGCCATAGCGGCACAGACGCACATTCCAGGACCCTCCAGGAAGACGGGTCTGGGTCAGTGCCCATCGCCAGTTACGACGGCACCGCCGCCGCCTCCTCCACCACCACCACCGCCACCTCCGCCGCCGCCAGAGCAGAGAATTCCATCGCCGCCACCTTTTCCCACCAAGGGAGCTGTGAAACCGCTGTCTCCCTCACTATCCACGCCCCTTAAAATGCCACCGCCGCCTCCGCCCACTGAAGATCCCAGATCCGAGCTAATGGCCGCCATCCGGAACGCCGGAGGAGTGCACGGCGGACGTCTGCGCTCGCAGGCGGCTGCTCCGCTCGATGTGGTGGACAACACACGCTCCAAGGCGGGAGCCGCTGCCACGGGGGATCTGATGGCGGACCTGCACAACAAGCTGATGCTGCGTCGCAAGGGAATCTCGGGAAGCCAGAATCCCGGGGAGGCCACCGCTGGCAATCCCCTGATGCAGCAGCTCTCGCGGGTGATTCCGCCGCCGGTGCAGCCGCGCAAGGGATCTCAGTCCAGCGATGAGGCGCCCTCCGAGGAGGATGAAGACGGGTGGAACTAGCGGAATTCTCCTCATTTACTTAGCTTTAGCACCGGTTAAAGTGCCTTGGCTGGCTTTAAGCACTAGCTTCTCTAGCTTAAACTAAACCAATCTCTAGAAAGAATTCCAAATTCTGTGCCCAAGCGAGCATGCCAAATTACATAGGTCAAAGTCAAGCAGTTGAATAAAATTAACTGACAAAAATTGAATTTCCCTCATTTCAAATAACGAATACCCTTGTTGAATGTTAATAACAGCACTGTTGGGTGGCTTACTTTCAGTGCTGTAAAGTGTTTACAGTAGAACCACATTTCGCCTCAAAACAGAAATAATAACTGGATAAATTTAAATAACTAGTTAAAGTGCTTAAATAACAAAGAGTACCATCAAAATTAAAGGACAATAAATACTAGAAGAAGTAGAGCCGTGGAATTCCAAGGAATCCTGGGATAATGACCAGTCCGTCGCGGGATATCAACGATCTTTTCGACGACATTGTCCTGACCGAGGAAAAGGAAGCCCGTTTGGGATACGAGGAGGGTCTGAAGGACGGCCAGGAGCAGGGCAACGAGGAGGGCTACAAATTGGGTTACGCCCAGGGAGTTTCCCTAGGCGAGGAGCTTGGCAGGATTCTGGGTCAGGTGGTGGCCGAGCAGCAACTGAAGCACACGGACAAGGTGCGTCGCAGTCTGGAGCAGCTGCGCTCGCTCATCGAGGCATTTCCCCGCACCAACGATCCGCAGGCGGATATAGTGGGAGCTGTGCAGGACATCCGCACCTCACATCGTCGTCTTCGCGCCTTGTTGGGATCCAAGAAAAAGCCTGGAGCAGCTCCTTTAGACACAACTTCTGTGGAACACAAGGACTATAGTTTCTAGCAGCATGTCCAAAGTGGGAGTCACTCAGTTGCAAAAGCGCCTCGATGGTTTGCTGGCATTCCTCAATCCTCACTGGGATTTCGTCAATTGCCACATGGTGAACTACTTGACGGACCAACACTGGACGGTCTTTCTTCCCGAGGCTTTGAGAAGGGAGATTTCAGGCCAGGAGGATGTGAATCTGGCCATAGAAGACTTATTTTGGTCTGAAGGAAATGAAGTAGGAAAAAGATTCCCAGAATGGAGGGGTTTCCTGGAGAAAGGCAAGCAGGAACGGCTGGCGTTTCATCCAGAATTGCTAACCAAAGTGGAGGAACTGCTCGAGGGACAGGAGAACGCCGCTCAGCTAAGCATCCGGGAGTTTATGAGTGCCAAAAAGTGTCACGAGGTAGGTGGACTCTTAGTTTGTATAGGGAATTCTCAGGATTTTTATATTCCTTCCGATTAGGTGGAACTCACAGCCGCTCTAGTGGACCATCTCGTGAAGAATTCCAGGCAAGCCAGCTACATTGTGGATGCGGGCGATGGCAAGGGCTATCTCTCCTCCCGCCTGGCGCTCCAGTATGGCCACCGTGTGCTCGGCATCGATGCCAATGCGGAAAACACACAGAACGCCCTCAGCCGCAATCGCAAACTTCAGGTACGCTAGGATTACAAAATAAAATTAGCTTTATTTCATTACTTTCGTAGGCTTATAATTAAGTTGAGTGCTCCAAGTGGCTAGTCGCGCATCTCGCCCTCCTCGTCGTCGTCCTCCATGCCCTTAATGTACAGCACATTGTTGCAGCGGATGAGCACCTCGCCGAGATTTCCGGTGACGGAGCCCTCGATCACCTCCTCCGTGTTGGCCAGCTGCATGTTCATGTAGCCGTCGACGGAGACGAGGAAGCCCTTGTACTCCTGTCCCCACTTCAGCTTCACCAGCACCGGTTTTCCCGTCAGGCCGTTCAGGAAGGGCTTGGGGTTGATGGGCATACCAGCCGACATGATGTTTGTTTGATTTTTGTGGCGTTTTTAGGGAAAAATAAAACAAGCGTGCCGAAAGTCGCCGGTTTTTCGCGTTTTCGAAGTTAGTATGACCGCATTTAGACAGTTAGCATATCCCACGGCAAGAAGAAGAACACGCATAACAGATCAGTGTTGGAAAACATTACAAGACCGCCTAATTCAAAATTCAAAATGTCTTTCAATTTCAGCGCGCTTGGAATGGCCTCACGGAACGAGCGGAGCTGCAGAGCCAAGGAATCACCCCCAAGAGGCGGGGCAAAAAGTCACCCACCAGGGACACCACAAAGAGCGCTCCCGCCTTGGAAAACTACAAAACAACGGCCAGATTTATAACCACCGAACTCAACTTTGGCGCCCTGCTGGGGGAGCATTTTCAGCAGTTACCACAAGAAGATAGCCCCAATATTTGCCTGACTGGATTGCACACCTGCGGGAATCTAGCCGCCACCTGCCTGCAGGTTTTCCATGCCCAAAAAGACTGCCGGTTGCTGTGCAACATTGGCTGCTGCTATCACTTGCTAAGGGAACGCTACTCGCAGCAGGAATTCTTCGGGAACAAGGGCCTGATGGACATGCAAACGGACTACGGATTCCCGCTGAGTCGGTATCTCCAGGAGCGGCAAGTGCGCATGGGTCGCAATGCCCGGATGCTGGCGGCCCAGTCAATAGAACGCACCTTGGATGCCAAGGAGCTGCCGAACGTAACGCTCTACTATCGGGCTCTTTTGGAGATCCTCGTTTGCCGCCATGCTCCGCAGTTGAAGAACGAACTGCAGGTGGGCAAAGTGCGAAAGTTCGAGAGCTTCCAGGAATACATTAAGAAATGTGCCACAAAATTGGATGCTCCTTGGTTGGCTGCCATCGAGGAGGACGAGCTTCAATCCCTGCTGCAGGAATATGCCCTAGATAAGCACTATTTGGACCTGTTCTATCTGCTGCGCATGTCCTTTGCTCCTGTACTGGAGAGCTTGATCCTTCTCGATCGCCTGCTGTACCTCAAGGAACTCGGCTATGAACGCAGCTATCTTATAGATTTGTTTGATCCCGTCATTTCGCCCAGGCACTTCGCAATTGTTGCTATAAAGCCACCGACGTAACTATTTTGACATGGAATAATGCATCAAAAGTTTGACAGGGGAAGCCGGTTCTGCGCAATCGTTAATTAATGATAAGCATGCAATAGTTTTGATACAGTGTACGTAATATATCCAGATGTAAATTTCCAGCTTATGTAAATCATAAAAGTTAAAATCTAAACCGTTAAATAATATTTTTAATTTTTTAAAACAATTTTTGTTTCAATCCTTTGTTTTTATATATTACCTCCTTTTTAATTTGCCACTATTAAATGATGAAAGTAATCATGACTCGTTATAATTACAAGCTACCGAGAGTTTGTTTTGCCTTAGGTTATCACTTTTTTTACGATTTGTTTGTTTTTCGTAATTTAAAGCTCGTTTTCCACCACACAGGTGAATAATTCGCACTTCAAATCGCAATCTCAGAACTTTTGAGATGTATAAATATGCGAACGCAATTCAAAATCGCTTCGAGTGCAATGCGAAGAGCTTTAATTGTCGGTCGTGTGCTCGGGAACTCATAATTTTTATATCAACGGAAACGTTTCTTTGAAATCGCTGGAAAAACTAGTTGCCAATAAGGCCAATTACAAACAAGGTGTGCAAAGTTATTACTAGTGGTTAAACTATAAACTGTGTGTGGTATTTATCGTAATAAATCCAAATATGTACCTTAAAGAGAAGTGACATTAAAATTGTATATTCCGGTCCTTAAAAAATAATAGAGTTCAGTTTAAAAGATTTGTAAGATACTGTGTACAATCTTGGTCTTGGAGTAAATATTGAAAATGTTGTCCTATATATACTTGTTTAAACCAGTTTTAGAACTTTAAATTAAAATTTTGATGTTATATTTTATGCGATCTCAAAAAATTAGTATAAAAAGTATTTTAGACATTCACAAATTTTTTAAATTGAAGACAATTACTTATGATGTTTTTGTAAGATAATTGCTAGGAGTGAAACTATCTAAATAGTGATAATTTCTATCTCATCTAAAACACCGAATTTTTGATTACCCCTAATCAGAGTCAAAAACAAGAGAGAACGCTATAGTCGGGTGCCCCGACTATCAGATACCCGTTACTCAGCTAAAGGGAGAGAGAAGAATATGAAGATAAAAACTTTGATCCGCCGTAACTTTTTAACAAATGGTCCGATTTAAAAAATTTCTTCTACATTTCGATAGGTATTGATAAACACAATAAAACTGAATTTTTACTTTTCCAAAATATTGAAATTTTTAAAATCGTATATAAGCGATTGTGGGCGTTAGAGGGGGCGTGGCACCCTTTTGAAACAAACTTGCGCTGCGTAGGAACTCCTAGAATCTGCATGCAAAATGTCAATCCTCTAGCTTTTATAGTTTCCGAGATCTCAGCGTTCATACAGACAGACAGACGGACAGACAGACGGACAGACGGACAGACGGACAGACGGACATGGCTAGATCGACTCGGCTAGTGATCCTGATCAAGAATATATATAGTTTATAGGGTCGGAAACGCTTCCTTCTACCTGTTACATACTTTTGCACGAATCTAATATACCCTTTTACTCTACGAGTAACGGGTATAATCAACACAGCCTTTCCAGATGGAATACAAATGATAAGATTAGGTTAAGAATCTGTTTTCATTTAGATTTAATTCGAGGTAAACAAGTATATCAAAACACTCCAGGGCACTTTGAAACCCTTGACATTTTGCTTGTAACCAAGATAAGATTACGCTGAGTGGACTGACCCACACAATTTGATTAACAAATTGAGAGACTGATTACAGAGTGGAAGATCCCATTACATCAATATCGATAAGATGGTGTTGACGGAAGCCCTTTTCCTGGTGGTCGCTGTCCTGGTGGCGGTGTACATGTGGTTCCAGCGAAACCACAGCTATTGGCAGCGCAAGGGAATACCCTTTATCCCACCCACGCCGATCATAGGAAACACGAAGGTGGTCTTCAAGCTGGAGAACTCCTTTGGCCTGCATCTCTCGGAGATCTACAATGATCCAAGGGTCAAGGACGAGGCTGTTGTGGGTATATATGCTCTCAACAAACCTGGTTTGATTATTCGCGATATAGAACTGGTTAAATCGGTTCTGATCAAGGACTTTAATCGGTTCCATAATCGTTACGCCCGCTGCGATCCCCATCGGGATCCTTTGGGCTATAATAATCTCTTCTTCGTGAGGGATTCCCATTGGAAGGACATTCGCACCAAGCTCACTCCAGTTTTTACCAGCGGAAAGGTTAAGCAGATGTATACCCTGATGCAGGAGGTAATTATATGGGTTTTTATAAGTTCCTAATTAGAAATACTTAACTTATTTCCTATACAGATTGGCAGTGATTTGGAGGCGGCTCTGAAGAGACATGGAGAGAAGAGTTCCGGGAAGTATATCACCGAAATCAAGGAGATCTGCGCCCAGTTCTCCACGGACAGCATAGCCACCATTGCCTTTGGCATCCGAGCAAACAGCCTGCAGAATCCCAATGCCGAGTTCCGTAACCATGGACGCAAGCTCTTCACCTTTACCATATCCCGTGCGAAGGACTTTTTCGTGGCCTTCTTCCTGCCCAAACTGGTGTCCCTGCTTCGCATCCAGTTCTTCACACCGGATTTCGCTCACTTCATGCGGAAGACCATTAGCCATGTGATGCAGGAAAGGGAAAGGACCGGAGTGGCCCGAAATGATCTGATTGATGTTCTGGTGGCTCTGCGCAAGGAGGCGGCTGCGGAGCCCACGAAACCGCATTATGCCAAGAATCAGGACTTTCTGGTGGCCCAGGCGGGTGTGTTCTTCAATGCCGGCTTCGAGACCTCCTCCTCGACCATGTCCTTTGCTCTGTATGAGCTGGCCAAGCACCCGGAGATGCAGCAACGTTTGCGTGAGGAGATCAACGAAGCTTTGGTGGAGGGCGGTGGCTCATTGACCTACGAGAAGATCCAATCCTTGGAGTACTTGGCCATGGTGGTGGATGAGGTGCTGCGCATGTATCCCATACTGCCGTTCTTGGATCGCGAGTACGAGAGTGTGAAGGGGCAGCCGGATCTTAGCCTGAAGCCCTTCTACGATTATACCTTTGAGAACGGAACCCCTGTCTTTATTCCAGCCTATGCATTGCAGCATGATCCCAAGGTATGGTAATTTTGTATTAGAAAATGTATATATTATTAAAACGCCTACAGCCAAAAAAATCGATATGAATCGTAAGTAAATTTTACCTTATTTAAGATCAATTGTAATTTGACTTGGCCTCAGGTAAATTTGACCTGGTCGAAAAGCGTACTTCATATAAAAACGACCTGATATTTACATGACCATATCGATTTTACGGTGACATGCTTTTTTTTTGTGTAATTATAATTTCCCAATCCTTAGTACTGGACAAATCCCAGCCAGTTTGACCCAGAACGCTTCTCTCCCGAGAACCGCAAGAATATCGTGGCCATGGCCTATCAACCTTTTGGATCCGGACCCCACAACTGCATCGGCAGTAGGATAGGCCTTCTGCAAAGCAAACTGGGACTCGTTAGCATTCTGAAGAATCACTCGGTTAGGAACTGCGAGGCCACCATGAAGGAGATGCAGTTTGATCCCAAGGGTTTTGTGCTGCAGGCCAAGGGAGGCATCCATCTGGAGATTGTAAACGATCGTCTCTACGAGGAGAGCGCCGGAAAAGGGGTCCATTAAATAAACTGTGAACTATATAGTATAGAAGTAGCTAGTAGACATGATTAGCTGACAAGGTAATCGCCTTCTGACAGCTCACATTTGTTACACACATTATACAATAATCCGTGTCAGAAGCGGCGCCTGGTCTACTGAATAAAAACAGAATGATTATCAAATTACATTTAATCTGTGAATGTGTAAGCTATGTATAAAAATGCGCCACCAATAAATAAATGTAAACTACTTGATTACGAATAGAAGGCAAAATATCGTTAATATCGGTGAAAGTACAAACGAAGTCAGGCTAAGTTAAGTAGTGCCTATATATGCAAAATGTGATGGGTATATATGAATGTATAAGGGTATGATTGATCATCCATCTCATAGGTATTGCATCTCATTGCTCCGGTGATAAAACACGCAATTCGTCAATCAAAGTGCCTTTAAGATGCCACACCAACTCAATTTTAAATGCCAAAACACGCGACTCAACGGCTTAGTTATCGTTCAGTTGTTGCCGGCTGCATTGCTCCCTAAAAATCTCCAATCTCTATCCGAAAAAATATCCAGGTGAGTTAGATGCCCAGGGGATCGCGGACCAATCGTATATGGATGCCTCCCTTGGCCTGGGTAATAATGGCCTTGGGCTCCAGTTGCATGCGATGTGGTGTGCGTTCGGATGTGGTTATCGAGTGGTTTCGCAGCAGATAGACCAGACCCACCTTCGCCTGGAGGAATCCAAACCGTTCGCCGATGCATCCATGCGGACCCAGGCCGAAGGGCATGTAGGTGTAGGGAGTGTGGAGCTTTCGATTCTCCGGGGAGAACCTTTCCGGCAGGAATTTCCGTGGTTGCGGGAAGTACTGTTGGTGAGGGAAACTCCAAATTAGTTTGGGAACTTTATACACACAAAAAAAAGGCAGGTTCCCGTAAAATCGATATGGCCATTGCAAAACCCAGGTCGTTTTTATATGATGTACCCTTTTCGACCACGTCAAATTGATCTTAAATAAGGTAAAATTGACCTACGATTCATATCGATTTTTTTTTGGGTGTAGAGTACTCCCCACTCACCTGAGGATCCATGTGCAGGGCATAGCAGGGTATGTAGACAGGCATTCCCTTGGGCACCACAAAGTTGCTGAACGGAGCCAGCGAGTAATCCCCGCCAGAAGTGCACTCCCGATCCAAAAACGGTAATGGTGGATACATTCGCAGCACCTCCAGTAGGATCATCTGCATGAACTCCAGCGATTCGATCATTTTAAGAGTTACCTGACCACCACTTTCAATTAGGGCCTCCTTGATCTCCTCCCTCAAGCGCTGCTGGACATCCGCATCCTTGGCCAGCTCGTACAGGGCAAAGGCCATCGTGGAGGAGGAGGACTCGAAGCCGGCGGTGAAGAATAGCACCGCCTGGGCAACCAGAATGTCGCCCTCGAACACAAACTGATCCTTTATTCCCGAGGCCTGGGCCTCCTGAGTGCTTCTTCTAAACTCAATGAGGATGTCAATCAAATCGTTGCGTTTCTGTCCAGATTTTTCCCTCTCCGTCATCACATAGTTGATGGTCTGGCGCAGAAAATGGGTGGCCTCCTGGGGAACGACCTTGAATCCGAAGAAGGGAACCATGTGGGGCAGAAAGAAAACCAGGGTGAACTCCGCTGCCCTCAGAAGACTAAATTCAAATACGGATCGTCCATGACGACGAAACTCTCCCTTCGGATCGGTGAAACTATTTGCCTTCACTCCATAGGCCACAGTGGCTATCACATCCGTGGTAAACAAGGCACACAGCTCCTTGGCCTCCAAATCGAAACAGCGCATCCTCTCATTGTGCAGCGGCTGCTGGCGAAGATGGGCATCCAGGCTGGCACCCACCTCCTCGATCAGCGGGAACATCTGCTTCAGTCGATTGCCGGTGAAAAACGGCGAGAGCTTCAGACGCACCTCCTTCCAGGCGGGATTCTTCAGGAAGAAGATGTTCTGGGATCCCAAGGGATCTCCCTTATGATCAGAGTTCGAGTACCGATTGGAGAATCCCCCAAAGTCTTTGACTAGGATATTCCTGACCATGTCGGGGTCCCTCAACAGCAGGGCCGGCTTATGGAAGACGTGGATGCCCACGAAGGGTTCGTTCTCCGCCTCGGGATGATTATATAGCTGTTGTATAAACTCAGCGGGACTCTTTTGCATGTTGAGTAGTCCCATCAGGTTGCCCACTATCCATTTGGGCTTGATCTCAGGTACTCCCCTTCGCCGCCAATAGGAGAAGTGCCTCTGCAGGACCAAATAGGTAATAACCAGGAGGGATCCCAGCAGGATCAGCAGTCCCAGTGCCATGATTGCGCTGCCAAACGAAAATTGCTACTGGAGCAAAAAGTGCCAGCTCAACTGGGTTAAAGCTCTGGCTAAGCGGATATTCCGATTTGGGATCATCAAGATGATCCTGAGTTCTGTGAATGAATCTTATTTGTGAATGGAAGTGTTTTTTTGTGATGTAAAGTGGGTTTGGTTTGGTTCTATTCATACATATGTAAAGTGATATTTTTTGGGGGCCATGAACAAGCTTATTTGATTTATAAATAGGGGCTTTTAAATTATGATTATTTTTTATAGAAAATTTGTTATAATATTCCTCACTGAAAAGGTATACCTAAAACACAATGTCACCCTAGAGCGTCGTCTCTCACAGTAGGGTGTAAGCAAAGATCCTTTCCCACTAAAATTCTTCAATCCCTTGATTGAAATAAAGATTAGATTTATTTTAGATTTATAAGCTTGCGAGCAAAAAGTCCTAGGATTTATTAGAACCCCACCTTCTACCGATAACAGAGCCGGAACCAGCACGTGCACACAATAAATTGACCTATGTGTACGGATAGTTATGTAACTAAAAAAAAAAGTATTATACTTTTCAAAATAGATACGTATATTTTGTTTTTGCTTGGGTGTGTGTTTTTTTTTTATTTTGTTGTTGTGGGAGTAACTATTTGATTGCTAGAATTGACAATTTATTTATATTGGTTAATTCTACCAGTAGATTTTTTTGTGTCTCCCTTGAACACGACCCCCATCATTTTGAGTGGCAAAACCTAGCAGATGTGTTTGCAGGTTGTATGCTACAGGTACTTGCGGTCCACTTCCGCAGGGAGGACCTTTTTAGCTCTACCGCTAGAATATTCCGTCGTCGTCGTCGAAGAGCAGGCAACTGCAATTCCAACGATACCGCACAGAAGGAAAAGGATGGCGAAGAACTTCATCTTGATTACTCTGTTTTAACACTGACCATTTCGGGACAGAATTTCCCTATTTATACTTTCTATTTTCGGGTTATCAAATATTAACATAAATGCTTAAATGCCATTTGCGCTTCAAATCTTAAGAAAAGAAACAGTTGAGCAAACACTACAATATTCCTTGAATGATGGTTAGTAGTGGAACGTTTTTTTCAGTTGTTTGACTATAAACACGTTTGTATATCTTTGCTAGCATTATGCGTGTCTATTTAACCAAACACGCCTTTTACCACCATTTAAGGCCAAGAATATGTGGGGTTAATCCCAATTTTCTAGTATTTGCACATTCTAAGATCTCAGCGTTCATACAGATAGAGACGGACTTTTGCACGAATACAATATACCCTTTACTCTACGAGTAACGGGTAATAGTTTTAACATTTTATCCCTCAATATTTAATAATTCGTTTAGGTACCATGTTGCTCATCTGTCTGCTGCTCCTCACCTGCTTTCTGGCTCTAAATCTCTGGCTGCGACAGAAGTACGACTACTTTAGGAGCCGTGGGATCCCCTACCTGCCCGCCTCCTCCTGGTCTCCAATGGGCAATCTCGGGCAGCTTTTATTTCTACGCATTTCCTTTGGCGATCTCTTTCGTCAGCTCTACGCAGATCCTCGCGGTGGCCAAGCGAAAATTGTGGGCTTCTATATTTTTCAAGCTCCAGCTCTGATGATTCGAGATCCAGAGCTAGTTCGTCAGGTGCTGATCAAGAACTTTAATAGCTTCCTAAACCGCTATGAGTCGGCGGACAGTGGAGATCCCATGGGTGCATTGACCCTCCCATTGGCGAAGTACCACCACTGGAAAGAGAGTCGGCAGTGCATGTCGAAGCTCTTCACCAGTGGACGCATACGGGAGGTAATGTATCCCCAGATGCTGAATGTGGCTTTGGACCTGGAAAACTATCTCAAAAAAAAGCTACGGGATCGAAACACCCGCATTCTCGCCTTGGAAAAAATGTGCCAATTATACACCACCGATGTGACGGGGAATCTCTTCTACAGCCTGGATGTGGGCGGACTGCGTCGAGGGCGATCTGAGTTGCTAAAGAAAACCATCGAATTATTTAAGACAAATCCACGCAAGGTTCTTGACTTTATGTGCGTGTTCTTTCTCCCGCGGAGAACGGGGAATCTGCTAAAGCCCAAAGTATTTACAGAAGACTATACACAGTATATGAGGAACTTGGTGAAGGAACACCAGGAAACGGAAAAGGGTGATCTCATCAATCAACTGCAGCACTTCCAGCTCAGCCACTCCGCGAATCACTATTCCCAGCATCCGGACTTTATAGCCTCCCAGGCAGGCATTATTCTGCTGGCCGGATTCGAAACCTCCTCAGCCTTGATAGGATTCACTCTCTACGAACTGGCCAAGGCCCCAGATATTCAAGAACGGCTTAGAAAAGAGCTAGGCGAAGCCTTCACCTCCACTTCCACCCTGAGCTATGAAACGCTGATGGCTTTGCCTTATCTTAAGATGGTTTGTTCGGAGGCACTGCGTCTTTATCCGGCGGCTGCTTTTACCAACAGAGAGTGTACCAGCAGTCCGGAATCGGAAGGATTCCCCCTGCAGCCGCATGTGAATTTCGTAGTGCCGCCAGGAATGCCCGCCTACATCTCAATTCTGGGCCTACAACGTGATGAAAAGGTTTGATAGAAACTAACTCAATTTAAATGTATATTTATAACAATCTTAATTCCAGTACTGGCCCGAACCCAATCGCTTTGATCCCGAGAGGTTCGCTCCAGAGCGGTTGAAGGACATTCACCCCATGACCTATATACCTTTTGGAGCCGGCCCTCATGGCTGTATTGGCAACCGTCTTGGTATCCTCCAGCTGAAATTGGGTATAGCCCATATTCTAAAACAATATTGGGTGGAGGTTTGCGAGCGAACAATACCGGAGATTCGCTTTAATCCCAAGTCGTTCATGTTGGCTTCACAGGATGAAATCTACTTAAGGTTCTGCAGGGATATATTATAGTTCTTAAGATACATGACAAATCTACGGCTGTGACCTACGCAAAGATATTTTTACACCATTAGTTCCTAGCTTAGTTCCTTGAAACGAAATGAAAAGTATTTAGAACATGTATTACTTGGTTTCTAAGACCCATTACTTAATATATCCGCATGAAAAATACATTATAATTTTTGCCAAAGATGTTTTATTTCCTCATATACCCCATTTTTAAAATCTACCCAAGGCAGGGTTTTTGGCCACACATAATTGAAATCCCTACTTTTCTACCACCTAAGTTCCGGGATTCAACTTGCTCAGCTTTTCTTCGATGTCCTTGATGCGACAGCGGATTTCGGGGGCCGAATCACGCTGGAACTTTTCCAAACTCGATTCGAAGCTCTGCTTGATTAGATTCAGAGGCTGCTGATCCTTGGCTCCACTCAAACGCTTGATCAGCATGAGAACGATGTTGAGGGCCTCCTTTTTTAGGCCTGAGTGAGGAACTCCAGCGGCCAGAGCCACGGCAGCCAGCACATCCTTGCAGATCTTCTCAACGATGGCCTCACGGGTCTTTGGCGCCGGAGCCTCCGTTTTGATCTTCTTCTCCTGGTTTATTTGCGGCAGGTCGGGCAGCAGAGCGGACTCATCGAAGACATGGAGTCTTTCGATGTACTTAGTGAGCGCTGCCAGCAGACTGACCTGCACTGGTCGCGTGCTCTCCGCCAGAATGCTGGTGCAGTTTTCGGCGAAGAAGAGTTGGTAGCGGTGCTGCGTCTCGATGGAATGACGTGGCCAGGACTTGCCCAGTGTCTCCCAGACAACCTCCTTCAGTCTATTGAGTGTTTGAGCCCGCTTGTTGCGCTCGTCGGCAGTTAGTTCCTGGCTAGTGCTGGGCTCGTCCTCGTCGTCGGACTCCTTGCGCAGCTCCTTCTTCTCCAGCAGGTTCCAGCTCATGTTGTAGACCTCTTCAAAGCGATCTGCCTCCAGTTGGTCGAGGATTTCGCCCAGCGAAGCCAGGGCCATGGTGCGATAAACAGGTTCCCGCTTCCTCGCCTCCCGCATGGCTGCGTCGATGATGTTGGGGCAGATCTGGTGCTTCCTATCCAGGCCCTTGGTGAGTCCGGCCAGAGCCTGCAACAAACGCTCCTTGCCCTCGAAAGTGCGACCCTGCAGACCGCAAAGGAGCAGCTTAATGAGTCTCACCCGATCGGGTTCATCCAGGGAGCTACTCAGGCGAGTGGCTATCGTCTGGATAGCATTCGCCGCCTGCGCCTTTCGTGACCAACTGGCATCGGTGAGCGAAGTCTCCAACTTGGGTATAATCACATTCAAATTGAGACGGATGCCCGCATCCCCAGGGCTAACATCGTTCCACAAATCTTTCCAGAGTTCCACATTGGCCTTGGTCTCTTCATTGGCCTCCTCGTGCATGGCAAAGAAGATGAGCGGCAGCATGTTTTCCATGTAGTCCTTGAGTAGTTCGTGGTGACGCTTGTTGATGGACTGAATGGTCAGTGCAATGGAGCGATTTCCCGGCTGCTCGGCATACAGCTCGTCCAGCTTGGCAAAGAGACTCTTGATCGACTGCTCCTTGGCCAAACCCAGCAGGTGGCCAATCGCACTGGCGTTGTACTTACGCACGGTGGCATTGCGATCCTTGATGCCCACAAAGCAGGCCCGTATGTATTTTCCAACCACCGGAGTCATCTCCTTGCCCAAACGAATGCTGATCTGTAATTGTATCGATACTGTTAGAACATAAAATCGTATAACTTGCACTTGATCAACATACCAGACACACGAAATGCGCACAGCCAATTTTGGTTCCAAGATTCACACTGGACTTCATTAGTTCCAGCACTTCGGGCGTCATCTTTTCCAGCACCGGGTAATCAATGTAGCGCACGCACTTCCCAATGGTTTCCATGGTGTGGTGAGATTTGGCGGCCTCAGCACGAAGCGTATCCACCGCCTCCTGGGCTTCATTATCCGCCCCTAAACGAGTGGATACATAGGACAACTTGGTGTTCTCCAATTCACCAGTGGCGCGCAGCAGGCAGGGTATCAAGGTGACCAGATGCGGGGCAATAAGCGAGCCCGAGGAGTCAATCATGTCGGAGATGGTCTTGATGCTCACTTTGCGTATCTCGGGCACCTTGTGACCCACTCCAGTTTCCAGCAGATACGGCAGCGTCGAGGAAGCTACTGCTGTGCCGGATTTGCCATGATCCGAGGAGGAGGCTATGACGCACAGCTTGCCTAGGAATGAGGCGGTTCCATGGGCCGTGACCCTTGTGCCCTCATGAATGTCATCCATCACGCGGAACAGCTGGAACCAAAGCTCCTTTAGCTCCGGCTCGGGCACCTCGTCCACTTCCATGCTGTTGGCGGCGGCGGGAACCCGACGCACCTGCTCCTCCGATCGCAACTTCAAACCATTGGGACGCTTCAAGAGATCTCTGACTGCCAGGCAGCAGGCAATACGCACTCGCCACTCCTTGCAGGTGAGATTATCCAGCAGCTCACGCAGTATTTCCCAGTAGTAACGCTCGGTCACCTCCTTGGAGTCACTCACAATTGTGTCCCAAATGGAAATCATGGAGTTCTGAATCTTCGGCGTGGGATCGTACTTGTAGCGATACAGGCGGGGTATAATCCTGCCCAGATACGGCTGCATCTTCTGTCTGGACTCGGCGGAAAGGGTTTTCAATCCAAAGGCAGCTCCCAGTTTGCTGGTCCAGGTGGCATTATGATTGGCCAGCTGCATGAACTGGTAGATCATGTCCGGCTGGTTGAGATCTGAGGCCAGGGAGCACAGCTCCTTGTAGGTGGTGATGTTGCCGCCCGTCGGCGTTTTGCCCAGCATTCCTTCGGCAAAGAGTTCCGTGTCCCCGGACACCTGATTCACCTTGCGTTTTCCTCCAATTAGCTGGTCTAAGAGGGAGTTGGCCAAATCACTTTGACTGCCGGAATCGGATAGCGAGTAGACCAGTCCCAAGCCGCGGGAAGCAACATCCTGAACAAATTCTTATAAAAGAATATAATAAAGATGGTTATTTACAGATAATATAGATATATTAGCTGATAACCTACCGCTATCATCCGAAAGCAGCTCGGTAAAAGCAAACTGCAGCAGCTCCTTTTTGGCCAACACAGCTGGACGTCGACTGCAGTGCTTTACCACGGCCAGAAGCCACACGGAGATGGCCTGGCGGGAATGTGGATTGGGTTCGGTGACTAGACGAATTAGCGAGTTCAAGAACTGCTCAAAGTCGCCATCGTTGCAGTGCTTATTAACAAACTTCTCATCCGGTTGCCCCTTGTTTACATCATAACCACAAAGAGTGTTGACAATCGCTTCCGAAATGGCAATGTTTAAAGCAGCATCCTTTTGCACCTTGGCCAGGGTGAGAAACTTATCCAGGTTGCGTTTGGTGAAGTGCTCGCCATCGCCAATGGCCAGGTAGCCCAGACATCTGGCCGACTCCTCACGAATCTTCTGACGCGCCGAAGAGCTGCGCAGCAATTGAAAGACCACGCCAAAGATTACCAACTTGGTTGAGGAATCTATGCTCGTATACTCGGTCATCTCCTCGTCGTCGTCGCCATCGTTGGTTGGCACTTGGATCTCCACGGTGACGTTGGGAATCTCCACCGCCTTGCCGATCATGGAGATGCATTTTACAGCTGCCGAAACGAGCAGCCATTGGGATTCACAAAGAGTTTTTGCTGAACAAAGAACAAAATTAGTGATAGGTAGTAACTAAGCTTGCTGGAGATTCAAACTTACAGATAATTTTCACCGCATTAACAAACTGCGGCCATGCAGCATAGTCCTTGGACTTCTTCTCTTGCTTGAGCATAGCAATCTTGCGATTGAAGGTGTGTCCCACCACCAGCAGCCAACCGTGCTTGTGCTCCAATGTCTTTTGTGTTAGGCTAGCCAAGCATTCGCCCACCTCCTCATCGAACTTCTCATCGGAGAGACCGAAAGCCCACAGAATAGCATAGACTTGCGCCACATTGATGCGCATCGACTCGGATACATCCTTTAAGGTGTTGCCAAGAGGTTCCAAGAGATGCAGCTGCTTGGCAGCAAACAGTTCCGGAGCGGCATTCAACAGGTCATAAAGGCAGATGAGATTGGAGTCGCCTGAAAAATGTATTGATTAATATATTCACTGGCAAACTTGTTAGTCACTTACTTCTCTTGGCCTCCACGCTGCGCTGAACAAACTGCACATACTGATGCAAGGCATTATTCTCCTCTTCCTCGTAGTGCAAGGTGATGTATTTCCGCAGCTCATGGGTGTACTTTTCATCACCTGGAGCAGCCACTACGCCAGCTGAATACCAAAGACACAGGCGAAGGTAATCGAGTAGCTCCTCGTAAACCTCCAAGCTGTAGGGCAGCTTGGTGCGACCGACCACCACACAGGCTGTGTTCTTCTTGAGTCGCTTGTTGGCCATCTCGTGGACGTGCGACATCATCACCTGGAAACTGGGCAGCACCACGCGACGTTGCTCTAAGGAGAGGTGATTGAAGTCGCTAATGGATTCGCTGTTTATGCGATTTTCTGCCTGCTCGATGGAGGAAAGCATGTTGTAGTTGACGTGATCCTTCTTCGAGGTGCCGTACAAATAAGTGGTGACATTCTCGCGCAGGGAATTGCTATGGGAATTAAATTATAGTATATTAAACTGGATATAAAATGCAACCAGTAATAAACCCACCGCTCTCCCGCGATGAGCAGCAGCAGGTATCTGGCTGGTGCATAATACTCCGGATAGCAGCTGGTGAGGAACACACTGGTTACATTCTGCACAATCTGCACTTTAGACTCGGCATTGTCCAGCAGCATGGCCAAAAGCAGATGCTGCTGGCCATCTAGTTTCACACTTGAAGGATCAGTATCCTCATCCACTTCCATGGCATCGCTCTTCTCCTTTGTCTTCCAGGCGAACGCCGGAGCCATCGAAACAAGGGCCTCTCTTATGGAGGAATGTAATTCCGGGGCAGAGCTGGCCAAATTGTTGAAGTACCCCAGCACCAGCTTCAGATCCTGGCTAACGTCCTGCGGGAAACTGCGAGCATGTTGCGCCAAAGCGGAATAAGCTGCATTCTGCACATCGTTCGGCTCGTTAGAGTCGCGTCCAATGACTTTGGTGATGCCGGTGAGTATTACCCTGGACACCTTGGAGACCAATTCGCGGGGGCCCCTAAGAAAAAGAAGGTTGAGTTTTGACTAGATGAATGAATGCATAGAAACTCACTCCCTGAGAACAAGTTCCACAAACTGCAGCGCCAAAACCTTGCACTTCTGGTTGGTATTTGTACCGAACAGACCATCGAAGATCACCTGCAGCCCCTTGGTCACGCTGATGCTCTTGCCGCGGCACTTGATGAGGTACTGCAGCAACTTTTGACGCACTCGGGCGCAGCAGGGACGCGTCTGGCGGTCCGTCAGCTGGTTCTGGTTACCGGCGAACAGAGTGTACAGCGGTGCCGTCACCACGGGGCTGCTGAAATCCAGCATGGTACAGAGTTTGCTCAGCTCGGCGATGGCTGGCGTGGCCACGCTGAAGCGCGTATCCGCCGAGGCCACCACCAGGGGCACAAAGATCTGCACATCGCTGAAGACACTGGCGCACAGGAACCGAACTATTCCCTTTTTGACTTTCTCCAGCTCTTCTGCCCGCCAATTGTTGGCAATGATGCGCTTAAAACTGTACGGACTGAGACCTGGGGGAACATCCTGGTCCTGGGTGATGCCGTACGGCAGGAGCAGCACATCCTGGAGCAGGGCGAGAAAGTTTGCGCTGATGGCCGGCTTGTCCTGCAGATCGAGTAGCTTTGAACGCTGTGCCGGATCATCGGGTATCTTCATGTCCGACAGTATGGGCAGCAGCAGGGCGAACAGCTTGTCTTGGTAGCTCTCCAGCTTGCCCTCGCTGCCCACAACTTTGCTGGCCAAACCGGCCTGTTGCTCCAGCGGCAGACGCGGATAGCCCATGGCGATGAATATGATGGCGAAGTTCTTGAGGAAGGTGCTGCTGTCCTCGGCGGCATACTGATCCAGCAGTGCCTCGACGGGTATCTGCACCTGCCCGCGCGACGAGAGGCGCCTCTTGATGTGGGTGAGCACCTCGACGACCTAAGCGAGCGAAAGGTGCATTAGTCAACCGATTTAGTCAGCCAATTTTGCAAAGTCACGATGCAAGAAGGGGGTTGGAAAGCCCAGCTGGTCATTGTTTAACGCATCCACTTGCCTTCGTCCGCACCGCATTGTGGGGCGAGTTCATTTTGAGGATCACCGGGGCCAGGAACTTGCCCACCGTGGCCTCCAGCTTCTCATCCGTGTCCGCATTTCCCAGACGCAACAGGACGCGCTCCAGAAGCTCTGCAAGCGGTGGAATGGAAAGGGTTTTAGATAATCTTTTTTAACGAGATCATTCTCTTTTTATCTATCTCCTTTGGTCATTGATTTATTGGTCAAATCCACTTGTACGATGCAAATTATAATTTTTACCAATTTCTGCATTTGGTCCAGTTTCCATTTTTTATTGTTGTTGCTCCTTTTTAGTGTTACCAGTTGGTGTGCTGATAATGGCACCGAAAAGTTTTGGCAGTCATATTTAAAAGCTTTGCAACACTTAAAAACGATAGAAAGTTACAACCACCAAGTCATTTTGCTTTACCAAATAACTTATCAAGAACAACTTTAAATTCAGGTATTTGTCAAATTTTATTTAAGAAAATCATGTTATATTGTAAACAAATAATTAAAATCAAAGTCCTTTGATGAGCAATCATCTTGATTTCTGTAAATAGAAAGAAAATATAATATTAGAAGGGAATTACAAGACTTTTATCAACAAGCATTTCTTTTGATTAATTTCAGTATTCTCACATTTTGTGAGAAGAGTCAAGGTTCTTCAGCAATTTGTTTTATGAAGACCGTCATGATTTTATCATCAGAATAATGCCAATTTAAAAAAGTTTAACAAAATAACAATTTAATACACACCTTTTACCGAAAAGCCTTCCTGCACGACTGCTGAAATGCTGTGGAAACTAAGAGAAGACTGTGGAAAACCAATGGTTGTTAAAGTTACTGTTTTTTTTTTGTTTTATTCAAAAAGAATAATTGCTACAAATATTATCGCCCGAATGGTAGTTGTCCGCCTAGTACTTCTTGAAGCTCTTCTTTGATCCCTGGCCCTTGCTGACCTTCAGGACGTTGAAGCGCACAGTCTTGGACAGAGGACGGCACTCGCCAATGGTGACAATATCGCCGTGCTCAACATCTCTGCAAGTAAAAGTATGGCAGGGGTTATAAATGTGTCTAAAAGGAGTTAAATAAGCTAGCTTAGGTGTTAGTTTCAGTATTTTTACATTTAGTAAAAAGAGTCAAGTTCTTTCAGCAATTTGTTTTATGAAGACCGTCATGATTTTATCATCAGAGTAGGCTCGTTTTCACATCTTCTAAGTAAACTGGACTCTAGAGAGTCTTTATCACAACATGAAGATGATAAAACGGCTTTTTACTAGGTTATTAGTTAAAATATGAATATTTTTACCTGAAGACGGGCGAGCAGTGGACACTCATGTTGCGGTGACGCTTCTCGAAACGACTGTATTTGCGCACAAAGTGCAGGTAGTCGCGCCGAATGACAATGGTGCGCTGCATCTTGGCCTTGCGGACCACGCCGGTCAGGATGCGTCCACGGATCCTCACATCACCGGTCCAGGGGCACTTCTTGTCGATGTAGGTGCCATCGATGGCCTGTATTTAGGAGGGTTAAAATAACATATTAGCTGGAGAAATTTAAAGTAAGATAAGGGTATATCTCCTGGGCATCACCTCACGGGGGGTCTTGAAGCCGAGTCCCACATCGCGGGAGCGGCGCAGCAGCTTCTTCTTGGTGACTCCGGGCTTGACCTTGCGGTTCAAGTTGACACCGAATTGTTTTTGGAAGGCGCGCTCGTTCTTTAGTTAGTTCGGGATCATTTGGAAGATGTTTTTGGTACGGGGTGCAGGCAGGCAGAAGGGCGGGAGATGAAATGGAAACAAACGAAAGGGGCGCAACATTAGTCGTGGTTTGTTCGGGATCCGCTTACCTCCGCCGGCGCCCGGAAGCCCAGGCCGATCTGGCGGTAGAAACGGGGCCTTTTCTTCAAGGTGGCGCTCTTGCGACGCACAACGACCACCGCGTGCTGTTTGCGGAACGCGCGTTCGGTTTGCTGCAATATACATTTCGTGTTCACTATTTGCGACACCATGCGCTAAAGTGGGGTTAGGGCGAGGCTGCTGCGGATTGTGTGGCGCCCAGGCGGTTTCGCTTCTCCTGCGGCGGTTCATCCACTCGTGCGTCACTTACACTCCCCGTGTCATCTTGTTTCGGGTCAGCATGCGACGTTTAAGCCGCGTATTTCATTTATTAAGCACTTCCTCATGGAATCTTACCTGATCAGCCATGTTGATGAAAAAGGAAAGAACGATTCAGAGTGACCGTTCGCCGTGGGCGCTGCAAGTGGGACCGTCGCGCGACACCGCCGAAATACCAAGGTAACGTGGGAAGTCAGCTGGATTTTAGCATTTTTCGATGCTAGCTGTGTAAAGCCGAATGTTAAACGTTCAGTACAGTGGGCTTCATTTGTCAAATAGTGGTAATATTAAAATTAAGGGAACATGTTAACTAAATTTATGATAGAGTTATATACAAAAATGTTTTGTTATAATTAAAAGGATTAATGAAAACAATTAGTATTTGATTTTAAAGTTTTTAAACACTTTTAAAGATTGACTTGACCTGTTTTTCACATAAATGCGAGGATTTTTGCGAACTCAACACTATTTAGATCACCAAGATATGTAAAGTTTTATACAAAGCATAAGCAAATTATAAATTTGCGTAATACTTTTTAAAAAGTGGTCACTGTGCGTCTTTAGATTAAATGTTACTTAACAGAATCGAACAGTGTGGCCATGGCAGCCCTGGTTTTAAGCGAACACTCAAACCATGGTTGGAAACATTGATTTAGTACAGCTTAATTTCCGACAGATGGCGCCCGTGTGCCAATGCAGGGGGCGTTAACTTTTTGAATATTTTATTTGACGCACTCAAATTTGCATATCTGCTGATTCAGATAGTTTCTCGCTGCTATTGACCTTCATCTTTGCTGGCATTGACTAAAAATATTCAGCCAAAGCCAAGCAATGTTTTTGCTCAAGTACTCAGGGCCCACTCAAGTGGTGCTCCATGCCAAAAAATGCCTTTGTGCCTGCATTTTGTAGTTTTTTTTCCCGTTTTAGTGCGCGCCATTTAAGGCAAATGCCTCTCGCGCTAATTCCTCACATGCCCCGCGAATATGTCGGATTAAAAATAATGACAGCATAAACGAGTGCCAGGAGAGCGGCCTTGAAATGCCGCCCACTTTCAAGGCGCAATCCGCAGCTGCGGCATCCTTTACAGCTGCTATAAATCCGTTTACGGCTAAACGTCACGGACGAAGGAGGCTGCTGCTTCTGCCTGCATTTCATTGCCATTGTTAATGCAGATTGTCTGCAGCATAAAATTGCGGCAAACGAAGCTGCAGCTGCTGCTGCTGATGACCTTAACCTGCAAAAAGGGGTTGTGGTTGTGGGTGGTTGCATTAGGCGTGGCATGCGTGTGAAGCTGGCGAAGGTTTTCCCAGTCGGCCTTTCGCCATGCTCGGCAATTTCACCTTGCCGAGCTCAGTGACGGCAATGAAAATCCCTTTACTATCCCTTAGCCGCCGCCCAGCCCCGCCCCTTATCCGCACGCCCCCTTCAAGGCCATATCCTTCTCAGGTAACTGAAAATGAAAATGAAACTGGAGCTGCTTGGCTGGCTACTGGTCTTCTGCGCCACAGAACATCATTCGGCATTATCGATTAAATAAGCCCCGGGACATCATAAACAGCAGTAACAAAGTTTACAACTTTTTCGCTTTTGTTCCCTCGGTTATTATTATGATTTTCATGCTCATTGCCATTACGGCTCTGGTGTTACTGCTGTTTGCCCGGGCAAATGAAAAAAACTTTTACGAACTGCCAAAGTTCGTCCAGTCAACAGTTTAAAATCGATGCTGGCAAACGTGTTCCACGGTCGAAACTCAATAATTTCCACTACCATCGACAGACCAAAATATTATTACTGAAAATAAAGTTGTTCTATTTATACGGAAAACACAACAAGATGGTGAAATTTAACCTAAAACTAAACCGAACTTTGAAATGCCATTATGTAATGGTCGTCCCAATTCATAAGTCTCCAAAAATTCAAACTGGTCGCTAACCCGCCATACGATATTCAAAAACACCTCCCAGCCCTATCCGATATTAAGATAATACCCATCAGCTGGTCCAGTTTGACAGATCGGTGTCAGCTCAAAATATCGCAAAGCTAGGTTTCCGAGTTCAGGCGAGGCCCTTATCGTTTCTTTTCCGTTTCAAACCCTCATCTGAGCAGACGTACAATTTGGCAAGATAACATATTGTTCTTTTGGGCATATGGAGTCCACGTGCCATTTACTTTGATCGCACCTTATCCAAAGACATCCTCTGCCAAAGCCTGTTAATTGGCCAATTAAAACTTGTTCTCCATTTTCACGGAATCGTTAAGGTAAATATTTAGTTGCTGGCGTTTCAATCGCACAGATTTAAAATTTACCTTCATTCCGCACAGATGGCTGCCTTTCACGGCTACATAGGGTCTGGCTACGCCGCCTAGCTGTGTATTAAATCAATCAAAAGACAACATTACCCGCCCCAAAAAGATACATAACGTCATTAAAAGGTCCCGAGGTAAATTATATTAATTCAGCCAGATCGCCATCGTGGTTTTACCTAACACGCCGCTCTGTTACAGTTGTCCGATCTCCAGTAGAAAAGGAGTACAGAAGCCTGCAAACATCGTCGCCACACAGGCTGGACTTTACGGACAGTGTCGACCCCCCAAAAACGCAAAACACAACGGCCCACCTGTACTCTACCCCTCACTCCTGTTCCGCCTACCGTAGCGGTACAGTTTTGCTAGTGGACAAATCTAGTACCCCAGCTATAACGAGGGGTAGTGGTACGAACCGCCGACATCGGACGAACGACTCAACCCTGGCATAGACCAGCTTTTCAGCTCTAAAACAACACCTATAATTTGTGCCCTTCGATCATTAAAAACTCCCTGAAAGTTTTTTTTGTAAATACATAAGTGTCAAAACGGCGATCGCTAAAAATCTAAAGTCGTGCTTTGTAAACGCCAGTTAATTTTTTTCTTTAAGTGATTGCTAGTCGCCCAAAACACACTCCACTAGTTGAGTGTATACAAAAGTGCGGTTACATATACCAAAACCCTGGAAGAAAATTAATTACACCCACCAAAAGAAAGAAACCACCACGCAGAACTAATATTTTATTACATATCATAAATATCATCCCCCCCAAACGCATGGGCTTAAACCGCTCTTAGCCCAGTTCATCGCGAAGGCCTTCGACGAGTATTGGAAAGGGGTAAGTGCATTCCAACCAAAATGTAATATTCCAAAATTTTAGTTCTGT